GATCATCTCGTATCAATTTGGAACTGAGGCATCCAGCATATCCCAGAAATGGGACCACTTCACGGATCAGATTTTTTGAACCCAGAACATCATTCCCACATTCTCGATTCCGACCATCCGAGGATCGCGCTCGAGGATCTTTCCGACGACAGTCTCACGTTCGTTAACAAAACTTACAATTTCAAGATCACGTCTGTTGGTGCCTCTGTCCGCGAGGGAGATTTTTGGAATTGCCCAAGGGATGTTGGCCATGCGCCTCACCTTCTCGATCATCCTTTTCTATCAGGGCGCTCGCCGTCACAGTGTCCATCTCGGTGATATTGCCAAGTACACCGATGCGCTCTCTGCTCCTGTTTGTCACTTGCCTGCCTTCCAGGGGGCTCACAAATATTCTCTGGAATCCAGCAAGGAGAGCGAAGACAACACTGAGAACCAGGCTTCCAGTATTCTTCCAGAGTTCATCGAAGACGGTAGTCGACACTAGCAGTCCGACCTTCCTCATGCAAGCAAGGAGAGCAAAAATCAAAACTCCGCACCAGGAGTCACTTCACAGTCAGGCGCGGTCCTTGTGAAATCAGTACCTGATTACCCACGCCTGGAACCCTCTGCGGTCGTTCACTCCTACGGTAAACACCGCCGCGCCCGAGCAGCTTCCTGTCAGATCATCTCTGGAACACTGACCGGGCGCAAAGACTATATCGATATCCAGTCATTTTGCAGGAGCCTAAAAGAGTCGCGGTGGGCACCCGAGAATGGTATGATGGTCATCAAAGTCTACATCCCCTCCACCAATGACCTCTGGGCTGCGTACTTCTCCACCTGTGTCACCCTCTCTATGTTCACGTGTATATGGTCGTCCAAGCTAAGCCTTCGCCTTCGGTTCAGCGGGAGTGCGATGGACACGCCGGAATACTACTTCGAAAGGGATGAGGTATTTCAGTGCGGTGTGGTGAAACACCGAGTCCGGCATGGTCGCAACCTTCCCATCGTCGGTCACTTGGACTACGCGGTTCCTCTGCCGCCACTTGTACCGAGGCTTAAATCAAACCTTTTCCCTCTGGATACATAAGTCTCGTTTATCAATTCAATGTTTTCATTTGTAGGATGTGTCCTTTCCAATCGGTGCGGTGAGGCCAAGAATACACATAGGTCAACGCGAAGACCGTTTTATCTTGCAGGTAGTACATCCTCGCTGGTTGGAAATGAAAACGCGCCCAAAAACAACAAATAGGCAAGAATCGGCAAAATTATTCTGGATCTTCTGAGACAAATAGATGATGGTAGAGTTTATCCAAGTTGTTCACACACTCCGACAACAATAATGCATTGAGGTTGCAGAGTTGTTGGCAAAATTGGTTGCGCCTAGTTCCACGGCAGATCTCACGCAAAGGGATGGCAATGTCAATTAGGGTATATGCAGGCAAAGTAGAGCGCACATTCTCTGATCTCGGTAGAACACAATCTGCGCGACGGTATGATCTCTCAGCATTTGCAATAAATTCGCGCAAGCGCAAACTTCACAATCAAGTGACAGTGCCATAAAAGCTGCGGATGCTGGGAACTCCACTCGCTTGTCAAGACGCTCACATGCACACTCAGGTGAAGAGGTTAAGAGGGCACCTCCACTCGCGACAGAGTTTCGTGATGCAGATGACCCTCTTGCTGGTCCAGAGGCTCTTTCGCCCGACCACATTGCCGTCGAAAATGTGTTGACCAACATAGATGCTGTCAAGGCAACAGGAACGGCGAGGAATGTGAATGGCATTTTATGTGCGCTAACCTTGTACTATCACTTCTTCCTGCATTCTGACGAATTACTACCACAACTTAGCCGGCAACACTCGGCGCTGGACTCAGTGAGATGAAAATGGCACAACGCTCACGAGTAGGCATGTTTACACAGTAAAATTTGGGATGCACTTGATCATGAGGTATCAGCATTAAATTACAAACAAGATAGATTTGGAGGTTTTTTATATCAGGGATAAAACGCCTATACGACTGGCATTGAAATTACTCAAAGTATCATGGCTAGACGCTGAAGCATCGCAAACAAGCTACCCGCTGGAACAGCCCCGGCAAATAACCATGCTTGTAACCATGCAGCAATAGATCCTAAAATAATTACATCAACGGGCTGCTCAGTGCCGCAACCACATAAACACGTACCCTTAATTGGTCCCAATGCCCCAAACCCAATTATGCGGAGGACTGTGCCAAGAAGAAACCATGGTGCCAACAACGAGCCAATAGCAATGCACAAGAGGGTCCATGCCAGCTGAGGGTGCTGTTCGTAAAGGTCTCCTGCATCATTTCATATTAAATCATCAATAATGTTCCAGAACGGTCCAATGCCTGTGGCGTACCGATGATCCCCAAAATATGTCGAATACCAGACATGAGAGAACCAGTATGGTTTTTCAGGACTTCCTCACTGGCTCCGTATTTGATGGCAACCCGTAGGAAACTCTCTTCAACACGATCAAGAACTGTGTTGATCATGAGGGTACGATTCTCGTGACCGGGAGCCTCCTCAGGTGGTGGGAATTGCTCTTTGAGCTCTTCAAATACGACATGCAAGGTATTTCGAAGTTCTTCTAACACTGAATCGAAAGGAACATCACGTTGTGCGGCAGCTCCTTTAACGACTTGGTGCAGTGATGTAGCTGTGCTGGCAACACTATTCACAGACTTCTTGAACTCCGACATCTTCGCAGGATGGAGTTTCTTGGCATTTTCGAAGAGTTCATCTACATTCCCTTGGATCTTTGATCCGAGCCCCATGACTTTCTCCCAGGACTCTCCCGCACTTGGAAAGTGCAATCCATCGTACAGCGTGTATGCTGAAGCAGACAAAGATTCAAGTTTTCCTGTGAGGCTCTCGGCGCCTTCATGACTGAGGGTGATCAAAGTGACCGCGTAACGTTTCTCTGCAACTTGTGACGACTTGTCGAAAAATGTCGCTGTTAATGATTTATGATTAAATTATTGAAGAAGGGTAGCTACAGATGCTACTCACACTTCACTAGTCCCCATCCTTTCCCGAGACGAAATAAAAAGTCTGTTCTCATAAAGAACAAGAGTGCGACATACCTCCTTCAGTGGCCGCCTCTACTAAATTTTCATTGCTGTAGGAACAAGTACTTTCGTCAACGTCGCTGGAAGCGACAGGTCGCAGTGCCAATGCAATAAATGCTAGAGTAGTGAACCGCATCGCAGTACTAAGCACTACTCAAAACTTAATAGTACAGGACCTACCAGGACCCATAACATTCACACGCCCACGCTAATATTGGCTCCCAACAGACCTAGAAGGCTGCTTGACTGGGTTGGATCCGAGCGCTCGGCACTAGGCTCGATTTCATGAAGATGTAATGCTCAAGCACATTTACAAGGTGAATTCTGGAATACACTTGAAGTATAAAAAATATCCCCGAAGTACAAACGTAAAACAGACGTCAATGTCATGAAACAGACGACTGCTGGAACTTCAACGCCACTTAAAGTTTCGTACCGAAAACCAGCTACCGTTTGGGATGGTGCCACCAAACATCCAACGTTGGAACCACGCAGCAATTTCACCTAAAATATCAGCGATGTCACGGTGCTGCCCACCATCGCAGCAATATACAAGAACGTACCTTTGATTGGTCCTCGTGGTCCAAATCCAAACAAGCGGAGAAGTTTGATCTCAGGTAACAATAGAGGGGCAAACTCTGCAATCGCGATGAGCAAGAGGGTATTGGCAATGTCCGGATGCTGTTCAACAAGGTCCTCCTGTAACATTTAGTATTATGTCGTCAATGTTCCGGAACGGCAGATGCTCGTGACGTGCCTATGGTTACGACAACATGTTGAACGACGAACTTGAGAGAACCAGAGTAACTTTTCAATAGTTCTTCGTTGATTCCAACCTTGGTGGCGATCTGTAGAAAACTTTGCTCGATGCGGTCAAGAGCCATGCCGATCATGATTGTACAGTTGTCATGACCAGGAGCCTCGGAAGGTGGCGGGAACATCTCCATGAGCTCTTCGAATAGGACAATGAAGATATCCCCATGTTCTTCCATCACAGAGTACATCACAGAGTAGAGAGAAATACCACTGTCCTCTGCGGCTCCACTGCAGACTTTGTGCAATGCAGTAGCAGCGGCAGTGACGTTGACCATAGATTGCCTGAACTCTGCAAGCTTCTCGGATGGATACAGCTCTACGACGTGATAAAAGAGCTCGTCGGTATATTCCTTGATATTTGGACCGAGCTCTATGATTTTGTCCCAGAACGACTCTCCCGTGTCTGGAAAATGCGATTCATGCCACGTGTGTGCTGAAGCAAACAAAGAATCGAATCCTTCTGTTATGTTGTAAACAGCGCCTTAAGGAATGAGTAGGTGATCAAATTGACCGTGTATCATTTTTGAGGGATTATCAAATAGTGCTGTTGATTTAGGAAGAGATTGAAAGTGAGTAGTCCGTACTCATTTCACCGCTCCCCATCCTTTTACTAAAATCAATTTGATGTTCGTCGTAAGATAAAAGTGCGACCTACCTTCCTCAATGATGTTTTTGTTGGACTCGGAGGAACGTGCGCTTTCCTCGATGTTGTGGGAAGTGATCGGTTGCAGCGTTGCGACAGTGGCCAATGTAACATATACTAGAGTAGAGAACCACATAACAGACGTCCGTCAACTCTTAACAGTAGTTGGAGTCTTGGACCTACAAGCTTGACTTGATTCATCATATGTAATAAGTCGAAGCTTCAAAAATAATGGGCTGGGGGCTTCAGCCTAAGCACGTTAACGTTGATGGCATGCTGAGAACATTTAGAAAAATCTGAAAAGTCATGTTCGCCAAGGTCATTGATCCCGGTAAATTGAAGCGATGTTGAAATGTTAAGAATTTGTATGCGACCGTCAAGCTTGACTGCTTTTGGAACTTCGACCTGAAAATGTCAAAACTCTCATCCACATATTTCAGGTCATTGCGGCCCTGTTTGCCAAGTCGCAGCATTCAATGCCAACGTCAATATATATGCATGCGCCATAACAAAGCAACAGCACCTGGCAGACGTTGTTTTACGTCGGGGGCACAGGATAGAGCTGTTGTCGGGGTATGATTCCTCAGCTCGCCTGTTATTCTCTGTTCACATTCTTGCATCTGATCCCAGGTCTTTACGCCAAAGGCTGCAGCTCTGTTCGTTGCAACAGGCGTTGGTTTATTTTACTACTTCCGGCATGAGAAGCAAAAGCTGCTCGAACAACGACGTACGTGCCTTTCCGCATTCCACCTAAAGCGTTTCAAGAGCAAATATTTATACAGAAAAGGAGCTCGAATCTCGAAGCGTCGGACGAGCGCATGTCGGTGGTCCATTCACGTTAACGACTCACGAAGACAAGCCTTTTTCTGATAAAGACCTCTTGGGGAAATGGAACTTCGTCTACTTTGGTTTCACCAATTGTCCCGACATATGTCCTGCCGAATTAGACAAGATTGGCTCTGTTTTAACTCCCCTAGGTTCGTGTCCATAAATCACTTTATCCATGGCACGCATTCACCTCATCAAATTCAGAGAAGGATTATGGCACAATCTTCCAGCCCGTATTCATCTCTGTTGACCCTGCACGCGACTCTGTCCCTCAAATGAAGACATATCTTGCAGACTTTCACCCTCGTATCATCGGTCTTACCGGTGACTATGCAACCGTGAAAACCACATGCAAAGCCTACCGCGTCTACTTCTCCACCCCGCCTAATGCAGATCCTAAGGGTGACTACCTCGTCGACCATTCCATATACGTCTACCTCATGGATCCAAATGGGCAGTTTGTAGAAGCGTTTGGTCAGAGCAGTACGCCAGATGAAGTCGTTGAGCGGGTCAAAAAGGAAATTTCAGAGTTTGAGAAGGAAACAGGGAGGAAAGTGTAAAACTTCAATACATCAGCATCTTGCCTTCAGCATATCACACCATTCATCTATCTTATTGCATTGTTTGATGTCTCGAAAGCGATTGACACGGAGCGTTCTTAAGAAAGTCTTCTATATGACAACTTCGGCTGTCTACTCTGCTTGCTGGAGTTCCAGTTTTGACATTTTCTTCATCCTCCGCATCATGCTGCAGAAAAAAAATGAATGTCATATGTGTAGGTATGTGGTTGGGATGCCTACTCATCATATTGGCACCTGTTGTGTGCATCAGTCAGACCCTCAACAGATAGAAAAGTAGATATTTAACTTACTTCTCATAGCCGTGGCGCTCATTCTCGCAAGTCCAGGGTAAATAATAGTTCTCCCTCCGGCAGGTATTCAAAGGTATCAAGAGTCTGAAATATCACGGACAATAGTGTTGTGGGCCAGACGCTCGCAACCGGAAGGGTAAAGTAAGAACGTACGCTGAACACTGGTCTCTCCAAGCCAAAGGCACTTTGGCCGCCTTGAGCTCCTCCTGAGATGCAGTGAGTGATGATGGCATAGATGATTTCAAGAAGACGTCAGGGAAGAACTTGAGGAAACGAACGGACTTTGGGCCGGGAATGAGGTCGAAGTGGCTGTGCCAGTTGTTATGAGTATTTTGCTCAGAGCGCTCAGCGCCTGAGCGCCAACATGAAATTAACAGCCGTTCGAGAAATCAGAGTGTAACTCAGGGAAAAATACAAGTGAGAATATGTAAGCTTAGTACTACTGTCCTCCTTGTTCTTTTTCTTCTTGTTTCATACTCATCTGAATCGCCCGCGCAATTGCCTCTTCTTCATCCATGTCTTCGTCTTGCTCCTCACCCATGTCAACATCATTGCGTTCGGACATGGCGAGAGCTTGAGCGAGCATAGCCTCTTCATCCCTGTCTACACCTGTTGATTCCGTCTGAGGCTTGGCATCGGTAGCAGATTGACGTGTTTGCTCCTCTGCTGCTTGCCGAGCTTGTTCTTCTTCCATGGACATGCGAAGGGCCTATGTAAAAATATCAACAAGACTTCGTATTCGACGTCAGAAAAGAAACGCACTAGTGCAAGTTCGGGGTCCAAACTAGGATCAACACCGAATTCAAAGTTGGCACCACCAGAACCCGATGCACCGCCAACGTCTCCCATCGCCTCTGGTGGTATGCCCCGGTCTTCCGACAGAATTGAGGAAGAAATGATCACATCTGACAGTAGATGTGTACCAGGTGGTACAGACACCAAATGTCTAAAAGACCAACCGCATCAGTCTACGCGCACATTCTAACAAGGTGACACCCACGAGTTATCGCTATTCGTTGTGTTGTCTACAAAAGCTTTGAGGACGCTGGTTTCCTCCTCGACGCCGTCACCAAATGCAATAAAGTCAACAGCAACATTATTCTTCTTCAATCTCTTTGCGAGCTTCACCATTTCTCGTTCGTCCGCTCCCTGACCTTGTAACGGAGATCCGACAAAGACTATTATCCTCTGGCGCAGATTCTTGTTCTCTCGATGTTTGAGGGCAAGCTGAGCAATGTTAATAGCAGTAGGGATGTCTATTGACCCGCCAATTTTGGATGATGTTACATGCAAGGCCTTGATTATCTGTCCAATGTCTTTCGAATGGGTCACGAGAACTTCAGGCCTGTAAGAGACATCAGCAATCAAAGTTTGCACATGTAACTGAGTCGTACCCTTTATTAGCCATTGTCATGACGCCAACAGTGTTCTCTGGATTTGAATCAATCTTGGTTTGGAAGATGGTCTTGACAGCATCAGACTGGGCTTCGAAGCGGGATGGGATATAGTCTCCATTGCGCATGTATTCTGAGTTGTCAATTATCATCATCGTTGCCTCGAGCGGCATCTTGGGCGAATGTTATTAAAGGAAAGAGATATGAGTCTTGGTTGGTTGCGCGACGAGCAGTGACGCGTTCTGCTAGAAAGCTGTCGTCTTCATTCAGAACCCTAACCCTAGTAACTACAAAGGAAGGAATGCTGTGCTTTCACTTTTGCAGGTGAGCGCCGTTGACATAGTATAGTCGGTCTACAATGAACACTTCCTTTATTCTTCTACCGCACTGGCTAGGAGGAAACACTGAGCACTCTACTACTGAAGCAGTAACTCACAAGGTTCTGTCAGCCCCGGTTCACAATGAAAAGCCAGGTAAGCCCACTGATCAGTGCTAGTAACGAAGCAAACCTAATCAAGTACATATAGTTTTATACCAATCCTCTAGGCCATCTTCCTTCATACTACACCAAAGACTAAAAAAGTCCAGACATTATTAAATCAAGGACGTGCAATGTGACAGGCTGCAAGCATGTATCAGTTCCTGGTATATATGTGTGCATAGCGACAGTCAATGATGCATGCCCTTGGCATAGGAGACGAGGTACTGCATCAAAGTTCTAGTTCTACTCAGTTATTCTGTGGATATTTTTACCCAGCAACCGCGTGGATGTCCCCTAGCTCATGTTCCCAAGTACACAGACTCGGAGCTCTACAGACATTCTGATTTGATCCCATTGTCGGGCAAACTTGACCGTCTTTCAGAACTGTTATCGTTTTACATTTTCCCTTGGTCTCCAAGTCTGAAATGTAGTGATACCATTGCAGTGTACATCGCAGTCGTCGGCACGTGCCGACTGTGGTGCATACTATACATAGGAGTCTCTACCACAACATAAGGCACTCATCTCTTGATTCTCAACTTCCACCATCTTATGGCTTATTTTGACGAGGTCGGTAATGGACCGGCAGTCCAGTTTATTATCATAAACCTATAGTCAGTTAACTAATCATCATGACTTCCAGGATTCACACCGTCTTCCGGAGGGTATAAAGCGGATTGCATATGATGCTGATACCCAGCAATACATTTTCCGTGACCGCTCCGGCCAACTTTACCAGAATCCTTCAGGAGAGAAATACGGTGTTCTGAAACCCGTGTCTGCACCTGCCACTCCCCGCCGTAGTGTGACCATAACAGGCGAGCTCTTAACCTCTGGCATGACGTCTAATTCCTTACATTACTCCCTACATAGAACGCAGAGATCCCGCCCTCATCCGTGCCCGGTCTGTCAAGCGCCCTGCAAAGACTTTCGATGACTTCCTTCCCCCAGAATACATCACCAACGCAGAGGTTTCCAGTTCTACACCTGACTCTCCCAGCGAAGGTGTCGCGCGGTTGAACAGGAATCGTACACTCCCAAAGATCCCAAAAATTGTGGAGGTCATCCGTTCTCGGGCAATTTCACCTCAGGGGTCGGCAGATGATGATAAACGCTACTTACTTGACGATCGCTCTGCCAGTCCCACCTCATATGCGACTCACGACGAGAAAGGTTTGAGTCGCTCAAATTCTAACGCGTCTTCTTTTCTGTCATTGCCTGTTATCGACACGCATATTAATTTATCCGACATGAAGTACTAAATCTTCGTATGAACATCGAAATCATTATGTCACATGCGTAGCACTACCATCTTTGCATAGGAAGTGGTACATAAATTGAATGTATTTGGCCTGGCGTTGATGTACCTGTCCCGGTCAGCATGTAGCACACAGATTATCTCCAGCTGCTAAAGTGATTAAGCTTAAGACTCGGAGTTATGATTATGTCGATGGAGGTTTGTGTTAGAACAAAATAAAATCAAACAAAATACAACAAACGAATGACGAATAAACAAACGAACTGGCCGGTCAACCAAGACTTCACACCAAATTGAATGAAACCCGTTCTTTCACCCTGTTCTTTGACGACAAAATCGAGAGTGGCCTGAGTGGCCCCTGCACAGGTGCGAGCTTAGGATCAGCTTGGATCTCTGTTACACGACCACGCGAGAGTACTCGCAACCCTTTCTCCCTAGCAGCTCTTGCAATACGCTTGGGAAACGCAGCGCAAACGTCCTTGTGCGATTGGGTGATAGTTGGACCACCGGATGCGTGCTCTGTGATCACAGCTACAGGTGGTGGCGAAACGGGGGATTTCCCATCAGGGGAGCTCGAAAAGGAATGCTAGAAGAGAATCATTCAGCAAATGTACGCACGACAAGGCTGCCACGCACATATGCCTCTGACTCTGCGTTTTCCCTGGCAGCCTTGCTCTTCCATATGCTCTGTATCCATGTGAAGCGAGGTAGTCCTTCATGATTATCATTCTCTCGTGAGTTCGACCAAGTGGCTGACAGACTAGTATAGAATATACCTCTCGGCTTCTTCTCACAAAGTTCATTTGGGAAGTTCTGCACCTTCTCTGCGGTTTGCCTAGCGCTCCAATAATTCAGGATCCGACGGTAGACAAGGTAACCAACGATGTATGTGATGCAAAAAGCAAGCAGAATGAGCGCTGCGAATGGGAAAACACGTTTGTGTGGCTGGTCCACAGAGGATGTGACACTTGGGGTAGGAAAGGTGGTGCTGTTCGAAGGGGCCATGGTAGCGTGTCAGGTGGAGATCGGATTGGCTATCAAAGATTCCCCGCTTGAATACTGATGGTGGAGTGTAAGGGAGAGGCTGGGTATGTGGGTGACATGTTAATAAGTATGGCCATGAGGCTGACACTAAGTAGATGTGAGCTAAATCGGTCATAGGGTCATGTAGAATATGTGAAGCTTTACCAACGAATATCTAGTACAGTTGTATGCGTCAAGTTCGATTGTCCAACCTTGCGCTTGAAAAGATAAGCCCGACAAGTATTAAAGGTTGCATGCTCGGTCGTTTCGATGTCAATAAAACGCAAGGTCGTGTTGATGAAATATGAATTTAACAGGTGCTGCATTAAGTATGACACCTACATTAACGAGGTCAACCGATGATCATATAACGTATGGGTCCAACTCGATAGTGCTGGAGACTAGTATCGTATCACAATTGGTGATGAAGCAGAGGGTTGATCGTAGCAGTACTTGACATATAGAAATATCTAAGTAGGACAATATATTCGTATGCAGCCAGGTTGTCCTGCAAACCCTGATAACTGAAAATGAGTGGGACGACTAATATACCAGTGAATAGAATGCTGGTAGCAGGTAAACGTCAGCAGAAATAATAACAGCTGCTTCGTGCCCCCAAATGTAAGGGTATGAGAGCGTTGAAGGTCGGATATAACTGATACCATGTATCTGGAGAGTGATCCAGCCATAAAACTTCAGTTTCTTCACGGATGACCTACCTGCCATTCGATGTGACTGTTGGTTCAGAATCAGTACCCTCAAGGCTAGTGACTGGCTTGTATAAGCGAAGCCCCAGTCAGAGCGTCCAGTTGAGCGTCGCGAGGCAGACCACGTTCTTAGCACCCGCTGTAATCACTTCGTCTCATAGGATAAGGGTCTGTTAGCTAGGGAAAGAGGAACACTGGGACCGCAGGAATGGCAGCGGTTTTGAACTTGCGAAAGTTCTTGCCAGTCGGAGGGCTATCGCTACCTCAACCGCGCCGACCTCTCATTCTGTTTAGAATTACAACTACTAAGCCTACTACACCCACTAGGTAATACCTAGTGGGAGTAGTAAGGCTCCGTCGCATGGCGTTCGATGACCAACCAGCTGCATCTAGTAACCATGGCACACCGGTAGGCTCGTTCGCGTCTGGGGGAGGGTTCGTGTAGGAAGCATCATACCCCAAGTCTCGTGGCCTTCAGCCCATCGACACCTACTCCACCAAGAGACCCTTTATCGGCGGTTTCCGAACCAAAAGGGAATATGGCGTTTGTCGCAGTCGAGGTACCGTACTGTCGCCGGTCACTCTGTATGACACCGATGGAATGCTCATCAAAACCAGCCAAACTAGAAGCCACGGAGAACTTACCCCATGAAGATGTATGGAGCTTAATGATGGTACAATGTATATCAGATTATAAGGCTAATGACTCAATAATACTATCCTGGCACCCAGTCTCTATCCAAGTAGCTCGTTTATTTGCGACACAACTTGCCAGAGCGGTGACAGACGGGTGGTCATGATAAATAGTGCGGACATCTTGAAGTTTGACCGACGAGAGCAAGATGTACGGAAATAGAAATTAGACCAGGAGCTGTTGAGTGTTATGTGATGAGTGAGCGCAGAACAGGTACAGGTACAGCGACCCCGGCACGCGGCATGTAAACGAGGCACTAGAGTGAGTTATGTAAGATCCCAATCACGAAGTATACTAGTCATCTATAAGGAATGTTTTATTGACACTTCAAGTTGTCCGAGTCGGACCTGTTTCAGGACAGGAAGAATTGCATCATCAAAGTTAGAAATACAGTCGAGTTCCAGGGTAATAAGGCTATAAGCTTTGGTGTCAATTGCGAACAACAGAGAAGGAATGGAGAACTGGACTCTTTAGCTTTGCTCAATTCTAACCTTAGGGGGAAATAGTTTAGGCTGAAGAGTACTAGTGGCTACATCTAACGTATGGAACTTGAATCTCAATGGATCTTCGATGAGGAACGGCGATGCGAACTCGTGCATTTCGTATTAATCCGTTTCCAACGGACATATTCCGAAGAGCAGTCAGCCGTGTTGAAGATGTGACATCGAAAGCAGCATGGTATGTCGTGCTGTAGACACGGCAGAAGATTTCGGTAGTGCGGCACTGAGGACATCATCGGCAGTTTTTCACACATCCCGGTGCAGGAACTTCTCCAATCCGGTGTCAGTGAATATAAATATAGACGCATTACAACGGACATCCAAGCTAGAGATCAGAACGTGTATGAAGATTTGAAAATGTACAATAAGGTTTACATCTATCCCTGTTGATTTGGGCACAACAAACGACAAGAATGCTGAGCAAGGTTCATAGCGGCAACGCCGGCCACTAGTGGTTAATATAACCATGGTCATATCAGGCAAAGTGAATGTCAGTGATGCCAGCTACCATGGGATCCGGGTGGTGGTCATAAATTGGACATAACCGATCCCATTCATCTGTAAAGCATTTCAGTAATAGAAGTACAGATTCTTGATGTGTGACCTACATGGCACGGGGTTCACATGTGCGGGAGTATCCACGGGACTTTCTGCCATTACCACAGCAAAACCGCTGAATATGAAGGATCAGCCATTTCTTTTCACGGGAAGATACACACACATACGCCGCAAGGTGCCAGTCAATGTGACTGTTGGTTCAGAGTTAGTATTGATAGCTCGATAAAGATGATATCATACCAATGCAAGAACCACGGGCCAGAATTGTCGGTGACAAATCTGATCACTATTTTGTCCCCAATGATCCCAGCGCTGACCACATCACGGCGAACTGGGTTCACGTAATTGAAGGTATTGCTGCCCGCGCTCTGTACAACATCAAACGTGTGCTAATAATCATAAGTGCCAGCCAGACATGCATCATAAGTCACAGAAAACTCACCCCATGAAGGTGTATAGGATGCTAGTACAATATGAGTCAGTCCCGTAGATATCGAATGAATCGAAAAGACGTACAGGTCCACCTGGAGCGGTTACTATTGCTACTGTTAACTCTACCACTTTGTTGGCATCGAGAACGTATACACTTCCGGTTGGGAGCAGCTGAGAAGCCTCTCGAGCTCCACTAAGAATTTGGAGTAGAACAGGAACGGTGGGGTTTACGAATGTGACATTATTGACATAGAAATTTGGGCCACTGATGGTGACATTGAGGTGGAGGTTGATATCTGCCTTACCATACTCTGGAATGCCAGGAGCACCGGGATGGAGTAGAGCATGCAAGTTGGTCTCTACCAATGGGTTCGTGGATGGAACATTGACCGTGGTCGGGTCAATCTCTGGGGCGCCTTTGTAGCGTAGGATAGCAGTGTTCATTCCTCCGTCGTAGGTGGCATTCGCCGTACTAGGAAGAGCGCGTATCCAGTAGTTATCCACTGGCTTGTCAGCCACTAGAATCACAGAGTAGCGCTGGGCTGCAAAAATCTGGAGCTGATCTACCACTAGAGGTTTAGTCAGCTGTCCATCCGCTTCGATGACAGTTAAGTCGTGGCCATCGATGGAGAACAGGACGTTGGAGTCGCATGAAATTTGGATCAGGCGCAAGCGATATCGCTTTCCCGGCGTGATGTTGACCACAGCAAGCTCCGACTGGGGTCCACCAGCATAGCGACCGAGTCCATTGATGAGCATAGATTGGGCAACAGCTATAGTGCCGAGCAAATCGGGAGCTACAGTATGATACCTAGTGATCCTGGTTTAATCGGGCAGATTACTCATGTTCGTGAAACTCACCAGTCGGCGAGCGTGATTACGGTGCTTGCTGAAACATATGATAGTCAGAGGGTTCAAATGAACCAATTTCTCACTCACCATCGTCGACATCATACATGTACGCCAAAGGGTCTTCAGGATCATATATTACCAGTGGTCCCCTCAGACCATCGCACTGTTCCATAGGTCAGTACCACACATGCAAAGTCGAGTGATACTTGCATATTGAACAGAATAATGACTGTGATACCAGTAAGTGCCCGCCTGGTTTGGGGCGGAGAAAGAATGTAAAAAAGAGTGGTTTGGCGTGATGGGGCATTGGGTGACGAAGGCCACCCCATCGGCATAGTTTGTCCGATTTTGAAAGATGCCATGCCAGTGCTGCCGTAAAAAAGTTGATTTTAACAACATCAATGATGATCTGAAACTGCTTACAACACTGGTAAGCACGAACATCGAGTCGTCGTCCTTGAGCTTGTTGACCACCTCAATATCAAAGTGATCTCCCTGTTGTGAGGTCAGCACTGGCCCCCGACAAGCAGGTCAGACAAGTTTACCTTTTGGGCTGCAATCAAGGGTCCAGGAAATATGCCATCGACAAGAGTTGTTCTGTCAAAGATCAGGAATGAGTTTGAGTGCCGTGATAATAGACTCACGGGCGTTGAAAGCCATCGGGAGCGATGACTTTATTGCCTATGGTTAATCTAGTTTTGGGACCATGTACAGAGAGCTGAGATAGTGGGTATTCTGAGCGAGATACTATAGCTGTCGCATTAATCGATGAAATGAGAGAAACGATTAGAAAAAGAATAAACATCGCGATTTTTCACGATGAATGGTGATGCTGTCGTTGGTGAGAGTGGGGGGAAGTAAGATAAAATTATAATGCTTTTGCAGCTTTTATCTTGCAGCAGTAGTCTTGAAATGTTCCTGCTCAAAGCCATTGGCACCTTACGACTTCATCGCCATGTGATTGCACTGCCAAAAGTTGCTCGGCGCCCCGGTATCAATGGTCTGATGCAACGGGGGTTAGCGTTGTAGTAACGATCTGTCTATCGATCCGCTCAAAAATGATGACGTACCACGAAACCATGATTCGGACATGATCCAAGATAATTCAGACGGCGAAACAGCCTACCGACCCCGGGTGTAGGGCTAGGCCACAATAGCTTGAATTGACTCTTCATGTGCAGCAAAAGAATGACATTTACTAATGGTGTTATGCGAGAATCGGACTGGCAGTTATCGGACAGAAACGGTCACACGGTATTAGGTACTATGTGATGTCAGGACCTTGGAAGGTGCCGAGTGTGTACTAGCCACTTACGTCTGCACAGAATTTTGAGACGAGACAACCGGCAGTCTTGAGAATAATTGAGGCACAATGGAAACGACCGAAGATTGTGCCATTATTGGATCATGCAGGTGGGGCTGAAGTGATCATCGAGGACTCATGATAAGTGGAAGGTCAGTTATTGGCTAGCACGCTATGACAGTGACTGGATTGCCATCGGTGAATTGAAATTAACCAATGCGGCACGAACGTACGTAGACAGGCTGCAGATAGTGAAGTTGGGCCTGGTTGCTTGCTTTATGAGGGTCTATTAAGGATGCCAAGGTGCATAACTGGTTATAGTCACTACACCGTCGGACTGGCGGTTGCTTGTCGGAGTGGCACCGAAGCTAAGGTTAGGGTCAGAACTATATATAATGTTACATAACACTATTAAATGTCACGTGAAAATTGTATAGGAACAAGGCATCAAAAACAAAAACGGAAGAGCTCCTCCATTTCAAGATAAGGAGGAGATGCCAATACAAGCAGGCCATATCCCAGTAGTTACAAGTAAAGTTACGGCAAGTCACAACAAGCTTGTGCTGCCATCTTCTCCTTCAATTTTGTACAGATCGTGATTTTGGAATGGGAAAATTGTCAAGAAGTACACTATGACTCTTCTGTTTTTTCTTCTTTATTTCTGGTTCCCTATACACATTCATCGCTTTTGTACGCTTTATCACACTTATCACGTGACGTTTGTGCAAGGTTCTACCTTACAACCAAAAGCAATCCATTCTATTGAAACAATCCCGGTGTTACCATGGATCCATAACGTGTTTGTTGTACATCTTGCGTACGAAATAAAATCATTAAATAACATCCTTATTAGCAGGACTAGAGTCCTCCTCACTAATGTGAGAATCGAGGATTGTTCAATAAAGATCTAAACCTCCCTCAACTTCCGTGTAATAGTGGTAGATTGGACATAAGTTATACCATTCCTCTGTAAAGCAGTTCAGCAATATAACAGATTCTTGATGTATGACCTACCGGGCACGGGGTTTATATGTCGGCTAGTATCTTGGGGGCTTTCCGCCATTACCACGGCAAAACCCCTGGATTTGAAGGATTAGCCATTTCGTTACCGGGAAGATTTATACACATACTCATCAAGGTGCCAGTCGATATGACTGGTGGTTCAGAGTCAGCACCTTTTTGACAGCTCGATAAAAATGATGTCACACCAATGTATGAACCAAGGGCCAGGATTGTCGGTGATCCATCGAATCACCGTGTGTTGCCCATCGGACCCAGCACTGACCACATCGCGCCGAACAGGGTTTGCGTAGTTGAAAGTACTGCTGTCCGCGCTCTGTACTACATCAAATGCATGCTAATAATCATGAGTACGAGCCAGACATGCCCCCGAAGCCACAGAAAACTTACCCCATGAAGGTGTATAGGATGCTAGTACAATATACATCAATCACGTAAATATCGAATGAATGGAAAAGACGTACAGGTCCACCTGGAGCTATTCCTAGTTTCATCGTCAACTCTACCACTTTATTGGCCTCGATAAGGTACACACTCCCATTTGTTTGCAGCTGAGAAGCATCTCCAGTCTCATTAAGAATTTGGGATAGGATAGGATCGTAAGGAGATTTGAATGGCACATTATTGACAGACCACTGGAAACTTGAGGCATTGAAGGAAACCTCGAGGGTCAGGTTGATATCTGCATCACCATACACTGGTTTTCCGGGAGCACCTGGATTGATCAGAGCATGCAAATCGGTCTCTTTCAACGGGTTCATGCATGAAGTATTGACCGTAGTCGGTTCGACCTCTGGGGCATATTTGTATCGTAGGATGGCAGAACCATCGTAGGTACCATTTGAGTTAGGAATACTGCGCACCCAGTAGTTATTCACCGGCTGATCGGCTACTAGAACCACAGAGTAGCGCTGACCTGCAAAAATCTGGAGTTGGTCTACCACCAGAGATTCTGTCAGTTGTCCATCCGCTTCGATGACAGTTAAGTTGTGGCCATCGATGGAGAACAATACGTTGGCGTCACATGATATTTGAACCAGACGAAAGCGATATCGCTTTCCCTGCTCAACATTGATTACAGCGAGATCAGCCTTGGGTTTTTGAGCAGAGCGACCGAGTCCGTTGATGAGCATAGACTTAGCCAAAGTCACCTGGCTGCGCAAGCCGGGGGATACACCATGATACCTGGCGATCCTGACTCAATCTGGCAGATTACCCATGTTCGTGAAACTCACCAGTCGGCAAGCGTGATCACGGTACTAGCTGAAAACACATGATGGTCAAAAGGTTCATATGAATCAATTTTTCGCTCACCATCGTCAACATCATACATGTCTGCATAAGGATCTTGAGGATCATAGATTACCAGGGGTCCCCTCACACCATCGCACTGTTCCATAGGTCAGTCCTCTACTGCACATACAAAGTTGGAGTGATACTTGCATATTGAACAGAATAATGACTGTGATACCAGTAGGTGCCCGTCTGGTTCTGGGCGGAGAAAGAGTATAAAAATGAATGGTTCGGCATGATGGGGCATTGTGTGACGTTGGCCGTCCCATCGGCATAGTTCGTCTTATTCTGGAAAATACCATGCCAGTGCTGCCATAAATAAGGTCAGCTTGGACAACATCGACGATTTGACACTGCTTACGACACTGGTAAACTCGAACATCCCATCACCCTTGAGCATGTTGACCACCTCAATATCAAAGTGATCTCCCTATTGTGAGGTTGGCACTGGCGCCCGACAAGGAGACCAATAAAATTCCACCTTCTGGGCTGTGACCAAAGGTCCAGGAAATGTGCCATCAACGAGACTTGCGCTGTCAGAAATCAGGAATGAGTCTTGAGTGCTGTGATAATAAACTAACTTGCGGGGGAAGCCATCAGGAGCGATGAGTCTATTACCTATGACCATTCTAGTTTTGGGACCAGTTACAGCGGGCTGAGATAGTGGGTATGACTGTGAGCGAGATGAGACGGATGTAGCGTCAATCAATGAAACGAGAGAAACAACTAGCAGCAAGATGAACATCGTGTTCACGATGATAGCAACGCTGGCGTTAGCAAGAGTAATAGGAAGTAGGGAAATATTATAGTGTTCTCGCAGCTTTTATCTTTCAGCAGTAGATAGCCTTGAAGTGTTCGGTATCTCAGTGTCCCTGTTATTAACATGTCAGCAGCGTAATTCTAGGACAGTCATCGACAATTTGACAATGAGGTATCAAGGACGTGCCATGTCACGGGCCATGACTGGGACACAATCCAAAATAACTCGGACGACGAAATGGGCAACTGACCCCAGGCGTGTGCTAGAATATCACAACAGCTTGAACCGACTCTCCAGTACAAATCACTGGTGGTGCCTCTCCCTCAAATACAGCAAGCTGATAGTGAGGTTGATGTTACCGGGCTGCCGCTGGGGTGACTATAACTAGGAATGTGCTTAACATTTCCTCAGACTCTCGTGAGCCAGACCTATGATGATGGCTTGGACCTAGCTCCGCATAGCTCGACTGAGGAAGCCATGGAGAAAGAGGGATAGAAGCAAGGATCGAGATTCGACGCTAACCCGTTTGGCTCGTCGGTAGTAGCTTGACAATCAACACCTCAACATCACTTCTCTAAGTCTTCTCTATGACACGTCATCAATGCAACACAAAGTAATTTTGAATCTGAGCGTCATACTAACCTTACCACGTTATAAACGTGTCACAGCATATATATACTGCCACGAGGAGTTTGAGGTGTCATGCTGTTCTCGCTGGGACTGTAAGTTTCAACCATGAGTTCTTTATCGCACGCTGCTCGAGATACAATGCCTCATATCATGAGACACGTTGTACTTTGGCCCCAGAAAGATTCTTCCATTCTCGCGACAAGACGGCCATTATTGTCATACCTTTGAAATTGCTGATGTAGGCACATTTTCACATTATCCCGATTCATCGATGAATGATTAGTGCTCTGGCATGATGGATTGTTGGAGACTGGCATGAGTTTGCGCTGTTGACAAGTAATGTTACCCAGATTTCAAACGGGCATTTCTGCGCCGCTGCTGCGGCAAGTGCCGCAGTGACCACTGCTGCAGTGTTCCTAAACTTGAGTGCGCATCAACTACACTCACTTACTGCTAATTACTGGAACCTCCCAGTACTTGTCCTCCATACGACCCATGGACTCGAGGGTGCTCCAATTCCTTACATGTATATCCACGCTCCTAGAGTCACGGTTGGGTGATATCATCGAGATTCGTAGTAGTCCCGGTCTGCAAGTCAAGTCTCTCAAACAACTATCTTGTTACTAAACAATCTTTCATATTGTATTGTAGTCTAGATTCTCCACATATTATGTTATTTTTTCAATGAGCAACTGCGTAGTTGCGGGCATTTGTCTCAAGTCTAGATCTGATTGGCGGTCAATGGCACCTTTCTTCGCGTTCCCGGTCCTCTATGGGATTTTTTTCACCTGTCGCTCCTGAGGCCTGAGGTCCAATCAGTCCAGTGACACCTGTTTACAGCCCCACAGTTGCATGTGCATGAGGATTGGCGGCTGAACATGCTAACTTTTTATTAGGCGTAGCATATGAGTAGTGGGGCAGGCATGATCACAATTGTCGTTTTGAGTATGGCAGGATTGTGGCAGGACGTGTGATGATTTAGCAAGTTGACTCATCAGAAACAATGATTCCGAGTCCAAGACACATACACCATGTTCGAAAACTATCTTGCCAATTCTCAGCCTCCCTTATCGCCTTCTCGATGCCTGTTAGCCCAGTGTTGTTGAGAGTGCTGTATTAGTAGGATAATAGTAGCTATAGTTGCTCAAGCCACCAAGTCAGCTTGATTTGGAATTGAATATGAGTTACTGACGAGTGTCGCAGCACTTGTCGCGGTCGTCGCGGGCACCTTCTTTCCATATTTGGCAAGTGCTGCGATATGGCGCCCGCGACGACTGCGACAAGGAGCTGCGACTATACTTGCTGAAAATACACTCGAGCTATATAATACATCCTTCAGCAGTTATTTTGCACATCATAGTATTGCAGACTCGCATTGGAACAAATACTTCAATGGTGGATTTGCGTATCACACAAGTTTGAAATTGGGGCTCGGAAGTTGAAACACACTGTAGATTAGTCTCCAGCAACACAGTTCAAGACAATGATAACCAAGTGAGTTTATATTAATCATGTAAAGTCCTTCAAGGCAGCAATCAGAGTCCAGAGTATGTGACCAGCAAGAAACGAGTGTATTTTGTCAATTTGCTGCTCTATATAAGTCATAGTGTACACTGTACATGTATACTAGCGCAAATTCGGAAAATGCCGCGCAGCAGTCCAGTCGTGGCAGTCGCAGCAGTGACGCAGCATTTTGCTAGTGCCCCATTTCAAACTCCTCGCTTCGTCCTGATGTCAACACATTCATTCTCACCATTTGGCGCATAGTCACATAATATACATCGCAGGGTTTTGCTGTTCCTCTGAGTCCGACAAAAACATCATCGAAGAAGGTAGGTCGCATTTTTATACGACCGGCATCAAGTTAATTTTAGGAAAGGGATGGGGAGCGGTGAAATGTGAGTACGGACTACTGTACCTGATGCGGATATCTTCATCCTATTCAAAGAGCTTATGGAGATGCTCCCACCACCTGACGAGACTCCTGGTCATGACAACCGTACAATCACGATTGGCGCGGCACGGCTCTTGACCGCACCGAGCAAAGTTATTGAAAGCCACTCTGGTTCTCTCAAGTTTGTTCATCGTTCAACAGCATCGGCTGTTTTGGAACTTCGACGACATAATATTAAATGATACAGGAGACCTTGTTGAACAGCATCCTGACATTGCCCATACCCTCTTGCTCATCAGCGTTCTACCCCTTATTGTTACCCGAGAGCCAACTTCTCCACTTATTTGGATTTGGACCACGAGGACCAATCAAAGGTATGTTTTTGTATATTTCTGCGATGGTGAGCGGCACCGTGACATCATTGATATCTTAGGTGGAACCGCGGCATGGTTTCAACTTGGATATTCAGTGGCACCATCCCAAACGGTAGCCAGTTTTCGATGCTCCAGCGCCTAGCCATGATCGATACAAAGCTTCAAGTGTCGCTGAAGTTGTTCGAGCTTTAGCAGTCGTCTGCTTCATGACATTGAAAACGCTTGGGGTCGGTTTTACGTTTGTACTTCGAAGACATTTTTTTTATACCTCAAGTGTATTCCAGATTTCACCTTGTAAATGTGCTTGAGCCTAGTGTCGAGCGCTCTGATCCAACCCAGTCAAGCAGTCCATGGCCTTCCCTCTTGTCTGAAGGTCCTGGTAGGGTATGATCAAAGCTGTACTAAGTTTTGAGTAGTAGTACTGCGATGCGGTTCACTACTCTAGCATTTATTGCATTGGCACTCCGACCTGTCGCTTCCAGCGACGACGAAAGTACTTGTTCTACAGCAACGAAAATTTAGTAGAGGCGGCCACTGAAGGTGGTATGCCACCGCACTCTTGTTCTTCATGAGAACAGACTTTATTTCGTCTCGGGAAAGGATGGGGACCAATGAAGTGTGAGTAGCATCTGTAGCTACCGTTCTTCAATCATTTAATAATAAAGTATCAACAGCGACATATTTCGACAAGTCGTCGCAAGTTGCAGAAATGTTACACGGTCACTTTAGGCTCCCAGTCACGAGCATCATACCCTCATGATCAATACAGCTCTTGATCGCGTCGAGGAGAGTTTTCTACGGGTTGGCATCAGGTACGGATCCAGTGAAGAAGTCCTAAAAATCACACGAAATCTCTCATGTCTGGTATTCGACAAATTTTTGGGATCATTGGTATGTCACAAGTATTGAACGGTTCTGTAACGTTGATGATAGATAATAAATGATACAGATGACCTTTATGAACAGAACCCCCAGTTTGCATGGCTTGCATGGATTCTCTTGTGCATTGCGATTTGCTTGCTATTTGCACTGTGGTTTCATCTTAGCACAGCCCTCCGTATACTTGGGGTTGGGCCATTAGTTACCCGCTGGAACAGCCGGGCCAAATAACCACGTTTGCAACCATGCAGCAATACTTCCTAAAACCATCACATCAATGGGCTGCTCAGTGCCACAGCCATATAAAAACATACCTTTGATTGGTCCCGGTTTGCGATACTTTAGGCGCCTAGCCATGACGCTTAAGTGACTTCAATGCCGTAGGTGTTTAATCCCTGACATCAAAAACTCCGGGGTGCGTTGTATTTGTAATTAAATGCTGAATATTACTGTGTAAACATGCCTACTCGTGAGTGTTTGCGCTATCTTCATCGCACTGACTCACCCAGCGCCAAGTGTTCAGACCTACGCACAGGGCTTTTCGGTTAAGGGTCAACTAAATATCTAGTGGACAAGACAAACAGGCTGCATACGCAACTTAGGAAGCAGGGGGTTTCATGCTAGAGTTGCCAAAGATCACCCTCTAAAATCTCGCGCTTTCAGGACCATATTGGTCGTCCGCTGCCAAGTCATGCTTGAACAAGTTCATTCACTGACCCTACAGTTGCTGCCATCAAGTACTCTGCTGCAATACCTGCTAAATGAGTTGATCTTAGATCAAAGTCTCTTAATGAACCTCACAGGACGTGCGTTCACCGCTAAGAATGGCTCCTCGATAGAAGCTGAGGAGTCCAGAGTTGATTTTCTCGATGTTAACTTCAATCTAACTTACGCATTTCTCTCATCACTTCACTTGTTGATTCTCAATTCTGTCATCAATTCCGAGGCAACCGGCGATCTAGTATAGATGGGAATTTGCCAGGGCAAGATAGTGTAGTTGGCAATGTACTATTCCTCTTCCTGGCGTGTGAACCCCGGTCCTTACGTATGTCTTGCACTGCAGTGAGCCAACGGTCGTCTATTCCAGCACTACTGCGATGAAGTGGCTCTCTACTCTAGCATCAACGCTACCACCAGCTACTTCCAGCGACGTCAAAGAAAATTCCTCTGACACAGGCGTCGCAGAGACAGGTTTGTTGCAACAACAAACGTTGCATTTTAATATAGGACAAGGATGGGGAGTAGTGAGAAAGTGTGAGTACAGCCGACATTATGGTTTTTACTCATCTCAGAAATGATCGACAGCACTTTTTGACAAGCCATCGCAAGTCGCGGGCGCGTTATATGGTCATGTTGATCACCTAGTCATTCATCAAGGCGCTGCAACCGTCGGCAGCTTGACAAAACAACTTGGATCGTTGCCAGCACACATGCTGTACGGTGGATCACACTTTCAAAAAGCTGGAAAATCCTGCTGGGACAAGGTTGCCGGTCTCGGTCCAAATATCCAGGCGTGTACAGGTGAATTCTTCCAGCGTGCCGGTGAACTCTATCCCTCCAACAAGATAACGGAATTAAGGAAGTCTGTGGATAGCGTCGGCAGCACAGCTACGACACTCTACCAAGTCACCAAAGAAGCCGCAGAACATCGCGGCATTCCTCTCTACACCGTATTGAAAGACCTTGGAAACACCTTCAGTGTCCTATTTGAAGAGCTCAAGGAACAGTTTCCACCCCCAGATGAAGCTCCCGGTCATGAGAAGCGCATGGCAATGATCAACACAGTTCTTGATCGTATCGAGGAGTGTTTCCTGAAGGTCGTCGGCAAGCTTGGAGTGAGCAGGGAGCCTCTCGAAAGTCTCACAGGTTCTCTGAAGACTGGTCTTAAACACGTTGTGGTGACTATTGGTGTGTCATAAATAAATGACTGTTCCGGAATGTTGACAACCTAATCTCAAACGATGATACAGGAGACGTTAGCGAGCAGCATCCACACCTTGTTTGGGCCCTCTCGGGCATTGTGATTAGCATGCTATTTGCCGAAGGTCTTCTTTTCACGATTCTCCGCATAGTTGGGTTTGGGCCTTTGGGACCAATGAAGGGTACGGTTTTTTTGTGTAGTTGTAACATATCAATATTCATAATGTTCTAGGTGGAATTGCTGCGTGGTTGCAAGGGTGGTTGTTTGGCCCCGCCGTGCCGAAGGGCAGCTGGTTCGCGATACTTCAGCGCTCCGCCATGGTAGGAGCGCGGCTGTAGAGCTGGTGCGGTGCGAGGTTCGTCCATGACTGAAATCCTCGAGAGTCGAGGCCTGTTACGTTTGTGCAAATATATTATGTACTTACGCATATGATTTTTGTCGCTCGTTAGTCAGCGTCACATGTTCATAGGAGGAAGCACTCTGATCAGATCATGTCTGTGGCCTGGGGGAATTTGGGTAGCTGATATGAATCGTGTGGGTCCATTTGGTTTCTTCGAGTCCCCTGCACTCACAGTACTGTAGTGTTTGATGTACACGCACCCTCGAGGCTTAAATTGAATGTGCCGATACTGCATGTCATGCATCGTGGATCATGGAACAAATCGGTTATCAACTTGTTACCTAAGTGACTTGGTGAATTGAATCGCATAGGTCGTTATATATATATACTAGTGCATGGTTCTGTAGTGCCTTGTAATGTATGGTGCTACTGCAATGCAGTCAAGGCGCCTCTCTACTCTGACATCAACCCTACGACCAGTTACTCCCGGCGACATTGAAAGATTCATTCCTCTGACAAAAGCGCCACTGAGACGGGCTTGTCGCACTCTTATCTTACGACGAACACTGCATTTTAATCTAGGACAAGTGAGAAAGTGTGAGTACAGCCAAGATCACTGTTTGGAATCATGTACTGATGCTCAGAAATGATCGACAGCGCTTTTTGACAAGCCATCGCAATTCGCAGGTGCATTATATGGTCGATTTAATCACCTGGTCATTCGTCAAGGCGCTGCAACGATCGGCAACTTGACGAAAAAACTTGGATCGTTGCCTGCTTCAGCACACACACTGTACAGTGGAGCACACTTTCAAAATGCTGGAAATTCCTACTGAGATAAGGTTGCTGGTCTCAGTCCAGATATCCAGACGCGTATAGACGAATTCTTCCAGCGTGCCGATGAATTCTATCCGTCCGACAAGATAAGGGAATGGAGGAAATCTGTGGATAGCGTCATCAGCACGGCTACGACACTCTACCAAGTCGTCAAAGAAGCTGCAGAACAACGCAGCATTCCTCTCTACACCGTATCAAAAGACCTCAGAGACACTTTCAGTGTCTCATTCGAAGAGCATAAAGAACAGTTTCCATCACCTGACGAAGCTCCCGGTCATGAGAAACGCATGACCATGATCAACACGATTCTTGACCGCGTCGAGGAGTGTTTCCTGCAGGTCGTCTGCAAGCTTGGAGTGAGCAGGGAGTCTCTCTCAAGTCTCACAGGTTCTCTCAAGTCTGGTCTTAAACATATTCTCGTGACCATTGGTGTGCCCGAATAGAACTTTGACCGTTACGGAACTAATCTCACACGATACAGGGAACATCGACGAGCAGCATCCAAACCTCGTGCGGGCTATCTCGCGCATTGTCATTAGCATGCCATTTGCTGATGATGACCTGGGGTTTCTTCTCGCGATTCTTCATATAGTTGGCTTTAAAGCCTTGAGACCAAAGAAGGGTATGATTTTGTGTAGTTGCAACACTTCAATGTTTATAACGTTTTTAGGTGGATTTGCTGCATGGTTGCGAGGGTGGTTATTTGGCCCTGCCGTGCCAAAGAACAGCTAGTTCTTTTTGCTTCGGCGCCGCGTCCTGATGGGAAGAGCACGGCTGGTGTGAGGTTCCGTAAATGTTTAGTCTATGACTGAAACCCTTGAGGCCTGTTACGTTTCTACAAATTGCATACGCGAGCAATCACAGACACCAAATGCCGCGCATAACTTTTCGTCGAAAATTCTGGTATTATTCAAACGGTCAAAAGTCAGTACAAGAAGGAGCGGCGGTGACAAACAGAAGTTTCTGAATGCCCAACGTGTGGCACAGAAAAGATAGTAGGAATCCATTGGTGCAGGTATCCAAACGAACTTGATCGTTAACATGATCGTATCTTGTTCGTCGCACCTATGAAAAAATACTAAAACAGTTCGGACCTGAACTGGACCCTTGGTGGTCACGTTTGAAGGGACTCCTCAAAACCTTTTTAGTTTAAGTTTGAACCGGACTTCAAATTGGTAGACAGCATACTTCTCGTTCCATGAGAGGGGTACGAGAGACCCGGCACTGGAACCAGCATAAAAGCAGTCCATCTTCACATCCGGTAGCGGGTGATCGCTTGTCCCTTTTAAAAAGTGTCAATGCCGCATCATCGTAAGTATGGATGTACCCTACCAGCATGACAGTACGGAATTCCATCCTCCTTGTGTCCCCAACACATCACAGGCGACCACTCGTCCACGAGGTTGGCAAGCGTCTGCACGTGGCCGTATGAAGCAGACTGTGAGACTGTCACGGTAAACAGTTGATACTCGGAACAATCAGACAATAGATAACGTGAATGAGCGGCGTACCGAAACTGTCAATAGCCTACCGTCACCAAAACTCTCGTTGTTTCACCAAACCGAACTCTTTCATAACGCCACACATTCAGTCTCTCGTACTCTTACCTTGTGCTCTCAACGCCACTCCCTTCAGCATCCGCTTTCCCTAATCATTGGCCGATTCGTACCCGAGGATCCTTACGGTTCGCGACTATATCTACACATGTACATTTTGATATCGATAGCGAATTTACCCAGTCCTTTCCCGCTCCAACGTTCTCACAGAAGCCTCAGAAACGTATCCCTGCCGCATATTCTCACTTTGTGTCGCCTTACTCTCATTACGCCTATTGGCATTTAGGTTCACAATCTCCTTTCGAACTCAAACCCAGCCTTACAGGGCCCTCTCAGACATTGCGATTAGAATACTATTTTCCAATGGGCATCTTCTCAGCACAATTATCCACATAGTTGGGTTTGAGCCTTTTGGACCAGCGAAGGGTACGATTTTGTATAGTTGCATACCTCAATATATATATACTGTCTCTAGGGGAAATTGCTGCATAGTTGCAAGGGTGGTTATCTGGCCCCCTTGTGCCAAAGGGCGACTGGTTCGCGATGCTTCAGCGCCTCACTATGTCAGGATGGGAAAAGCGCGGCTGTAGAGCTGGTGCGAGGCTCTATGGATGTTTTGGTCACGAGTCTATGTTAACATGTTTGTATAATATAATTTTTGACGCTTCAAGTGACAGTGTACCTTACAAGGTCAGAAATCCTATCAAAGTCTCCGTCGCCAAATATCAAACCGAATAAACTCATTCACGCCATGACTTGGTAGCAGGATAATCACATTCGCAAAATTGTAAAGGTGCTGCCATAGGAGGAGAAAAGTAAAATAGAAAGAAGTTGTGAAGTTGAAGTTGAAGTAAATTAAAAAGGGTGCAAGTCGCCGAACTGCAGGCAGTGAATTAGAAGGAGATTATAACATAGTAATTTTCACGTACCAATGTTTGTAGCAGTCCGAAGTGGATGGAATGGTCTCGCAGTCATGATGGAGTTGAGGTGAATGGTGCAATTCGCCGAACTGCAGGAGACGTATTAAAGCAAATCGTATAGTATAGTAGTTGTTGACGTACCAGTATTTGCAGCAGGTCATGGTGTGTTGAAGGGGCAAAGTAAGCTGCGAACAGTCTCGAGGTATGAGAATCTGGCAAGGTCATAAAATCAGCGGGCCATGAAACGCTCGCATTTCATGCGGCTGAGCGACTTGTTACACGAAGCCCGCGGCAGGAAGAACGCGTTGGGCGGATCGTCACGCAGGGCGCGCGACATGCAAGGTCATAGGAGTGTTGACAAGTCGCAAAGGTGTAAGTCGTGAAAGTCATGAAAGTCGTTGAAGTCGTTGAAGTCGTTAAAGTCATGAAGGTCGCGAAGGACTCGGTGGTCGGAACAAGCCATCAAAGGTTTTCATGGAATGTGAAGGGTCGCAGCAGCCGGTCGTGTACACCATGCTATTCTGCAAATCGCTACGAGGATGGTAGACATGCCATGTCATGGGACGCCATCGTCGATGAATGATAGTGGTAGTGAATGTCGTACATTAAAGCCGGCTGCTATTATAGGGTAGGGTAGATCATGAACACCCGGAGACAAGAGCGACCATGCATGGTTACGAGGAAGATCGCACCTGACATTAGAAAATATTGCCGACTGTTGCATACTGGCAGAAAAGAGGGGACGGCAAAGCAAGAGTGGGATAAGACAACGGTGATGGTAAGTTGCGCAGTGGGGGAAGATAAGGATATGATATATACCGCCAGCTGGAGTGGTTAGAGAAAGTGCCGTGAGCGCGTAGGTGCCACGGGAATTTGAAAACATGCAAGGGCGACGGAAGGCAAGGGTGGACCAGGAGATCACGAGGTGCAGGCTGGGATATCATGTGGTGCTGTGGTGCTGAACTGCGACGGAAGATAGGAAAATATCTATGACCAACCGAAGTATGGCAAGTTGTTAAAGAGCCGCGAGCATTTCAGTCCATGCAAGGACGACGGAAGAAAGACAAGGGTATGCTGGGATATCGTACGTCGCTAAACTCCAGAAGAGAAGAGGATATCCGTGACCAATCAAAATGGTTCAAGAAAGTGCGATGAGCTTCTGAGAGCACGAGCATTTGGAACCACACAAGGAGGGCAGGAAGCAGGGGTAGGTTGAGATATCATATTCTGCTGAACTGCGAATGGAAGCAAGTCTGCAACAATGATCAGAAATTATCGGGGCCGTGCGATAAATCAGCACAAGGCCACGGAAACATCACGCATGATGTTGTCGTCAAGAGGGAGGCTTGTCATGCATGTTTTGCGGAGACTGCAAAGATAATCAGGGCTGCGAAGGTGGCCTTGAACGACCAGAGAAGAAAATGCGAGGTATCAGGTACATCACGAGGATCCAAGGTATGGCATTTGGATCCTGCTGCCAAATGAAATTGCAAATGATTGGAGCTATATAAGAAACCAGGGGTAAGTCATAGAAGGCGTGATAACTAGAAAACTTTACAAAGATGATGACGTGATGACATGTTGGAGTGCTACAAAATGAACTGACGACTGCAAGAATAAACTGCCAAGAACCACAGCGCAAAAAGTGGTAAGCATGGTAGGAAGATGCAAGGTTCAGGAAGCCTTACAAGGGTGATGACGCAAGTGCGTGGGGGGTATGATAATACTGCGAACAATCGGAGAGATGGTGAGCGAAGTGTAAACGAGATGGGAGCTAGAGATCTTACGATAGACAGGGATAGAAGGGTCTCGCGGTGCTGTAAAGTAAAACAATAAAACTGACAAGATCAAAAATAAATGGAGGAGTCATCAAGTTATCCAGGAATGTTGAAGATGAATAGAGAAAGGCGACCAAGATGTAGAAAGAACAAGAGTATGGGGTTTTGTCGTTTTCTGTAGAATATCGAGACTGAGACGCAAATAAAACCCGATACGGTACAAGTTCGAGAAATTCTGCTGCTGGAAAGTGACGGCATGTAATCCAATGTCGCGTCAGGGTTGAAACTGGGGGTGAAGGTCGACAGTAGACATGTGGAAGTCTAGGGATCAAGATGTGCTCTTGACACTATGCTCCATCGATCCAGCTCCACAGGGACTCCTCGCCCTCGATACAGGACTCTAAGGTATCGTGGAATTGTCGCTGAATCGAATATCGAGGTCGAGCTGCGAGAATTCCTTAGACGCGAGATTGAGATTGGTCGGGATTCCAGACAAATGTTGTTCGTCGGTGAATGGAACCCAGTCCCCAATGAACCACTGCGTTCGCAGCTCACCATTAGCGGCATCAATGCGCGAGAATGCGTCAATCAGGCAGCTGGATCGAGTTGGAGTGGCGGGGGTGACAAAGAAGCATCCGGCGGGCGAGCGACGGTGGTTAGAACCAGGGGGAAAGGGTCCGATGCAACCTGTTATCGGAGCGATGATGACTTCATCATCATCTGAGTCTATATCCGAGACGGACGCCAGGGAGGGAGTCGAGCCGTAATCGTCAACAGACCCATCTTCACTTTCCGACAACGAGGACTTCGAATGAGACGCAGTCGATAGAAACCTGGTGTAATTATCATCGTCGCAATCGTCATCACGCTCAAAGTTGACAATTGGGCACTTGTCATCCGCGGATAGTCGCAAGTCCTCATTGACAAACCGAAGGAGGTCGAAGCCATCGTTGTTGACTTCTGGAATTGAACCATGGACAGGCTGTTTGTGGTAGTCAATCTGTTCGTCCAGAAGTCGTATAAGGTCGAGAATCGCGGACCCTGAGGTACCACCAGAGATATGGTTTAGAGATGTTTCTGATTCTTCAATGGAGAGCTGCTGAAGGTTCGATGTGAGCTCGTCGTCGGTACCGTACTCACCCTCTTTGGAAACAGAACTTAGCACGCGGCCCTCGAAAAACCCTAAAATGTTCTTTTCGTCAGTTAGGCAGCCTGGATAGTCAGGCATCGGAGAAAGTTGCTCGTTGCAGCTATTTAGCTCCAAATGCAAGTCGGCATCCTCTTGGACGGGAAAAGAGCAAGACTTTTCCTCGAGGAAGTCTAAGTAGTCCCATGTTGGAGAGGTATGTTTTCTCGCTGGATAAGTGTCGTCAGAGATGTCGTCGCAATCCTCGTCACAACTGAAGCTGTTGTAAAATTCGACTTCCTCATTGATAGACTGCAAAAGATCGTCCATCAGGCGGGAGTTGATATCTTGATAACCTTCCTGCTGTTCGCCGAAGGAATGCGTTTCAGCAAGAGAACGGTGGCATCGCGAAGGTATGCCACTTTTCGCGTTGAGAGCATCTGCGTACTTGCTGAAATCCGCTTGGCCATGACGACGCGCAATGGACGGGATGGGAGACATATCGGATGCCTGAAGAGCAATATCCGAGGAAGGATGATCAAGCTTAGTCGCGAGTGCACTAGCCAAGTCAGACATTTCGACAAGACCATGTCGGCGGTCATCAGTGGAACGCGGTCTAGCAGGAAGGGTCAAAGGCGAGGGTGGGTAACTTGGTAAAGTAAGGAAGGCACCGCCCCGAAGTGTTGTACCGATGACTGAAATGTCAAAGTTGTACGATCGGGCAGGCCACCCGCATGCAACGACAGTCATGTAATGCTCACAAGTGATTTCTGGGACATTTACGTGTGGCCGGGCAATTTCTGACAGCAGGAAATTATGAAGACTGGCCTCTGCGGATTCTGAAGAGTAAACGGAGATATCGTCATCAGATTCCTCATGATCGTCCTCTTTCTTTTCGGACAGGTCTAGAGCGCGCTGGAAAAGCTATGTAAGTACTGCAGTCAGCCACTGATGTCAAAAATAAAACGGTTTACGCACCAAGGGACTGATAAAATCCTCGTCAGTGACACTTATAGCGATAGTAGGGACTGAGATCTACGAGTAAAATGTAAATGATTGATGATGATGATGATGATGATGATGCGAGACTATATTGCATACCTGAACTCTATAATCGTAGTCTGCCTCCGTAACGTCCCCAACATGCAGTTGATCATCAGTCACTTGGCTCGTTGCCACAGTACCAGTCTGGACCATGGGAATCTGGAACAATACAACGTCAAACTCATCTGGACAACATGCTTGACCAGTTGATTACTTCCCACCTGGAGTACTGAACGATCGTGGGTCAGAGCCGTATCGTATGGCGTGTCGGACGGCGAGCAAAGTACTGAGCCATCACGGGGCAAAATGACTGGTAGTACAAGACCGGGAAGCTTGGACTCGAACATGGTGTCTTTGCGGCGACGGCGGTAGAAATATCCCGCGACGGAAACGATAGCAACTGCGAAGCACACGAGGCCACCTTTCCAAAGATCATAGGTAAGGACAGTCGTGTCGGTGGGCGAAAGGATTGAAGGAGTGACATAAGGCCCCGAGAGGACGGTGGTTGAATGCACTGCGGAAAGCAACATGAGAGTGGATGTGGGGGGCATTGTAAAGCAGTAAGACGATGGCAAGATGAAAGCAGTTCACTGGGCATTCAAAAGATGCGGAGGTGCATATATATCGTCCAGAATTTGGAGGCTGACCGTATGGCCAGCATTGATAACATTATCAGCCACCATTGTATCGTCAGCCATGTTAGCCATCTTACTTCGTCATGGCGTATTAAAATGAAAATATCATAACCTGACATCATCGTGTATGAGTGATCGCTGGATGTCACCAGTAATCGAATTCATGCCATCACATTCTTCATTGCTACCGAACTTACAACGATATTATCGATAATGGAACGCTCGCGATCCAGGTTCCTTTGCAACTCTTTCAAGGCTGACTCCGAGTCCAATTTATAATGCTGGAAAAGATATGAGATTCTTGATATCGCCTTGATATGTTGTTACACACCTTTTTGATAATTGACCAATCCGTTATTTTACCCAGCGCTTGAAAAGGAACCATACACCCTTGGATAATGTCGCACATGCGACGCTGTAGATGAGGGGTATCTGAGACGTCTACACGGACAATAATGAGTGTCGTCGATTCATCCGATACCCCGTATCGTCGGATGGCTTCAGTGATCTAAAGACATTTTTAATAGTGAAATCAACCAATTATCGAGCAGATGGCTGCGCATACATTATTAGTGGGGTTCAGCGCCCAAAGTATCTCTGAATGGACAGTTTTAGTCCGAAGTTGGCCTTGCGCCTCTGACAAAAGCGCCTGGTAAATTGCTGTCTGAAGGTGAAGTGGGCTTGATATCTGGGATACGCAGTCAGTAACAATGTATCAAGATTGGAGTCGGCGTTCCTACCAGCCGTGCATCAATGAAGGCGAAGTTGACAGCTTCACGTTCAGTATTCCCATCAACACCAGGATTTCTAGCAGCTTGAACGATACGAGACCTGATAGCAGCAGCGTTTGTCACATCATCGAATAGAGCGACATGAACGACCGCATGATTAAACTGAGAGTAGTAGTATGTCTCCATCGATCATAATGGCGGTGAGCAAGGACCAAACAATCATTACATACTCATCTTGCATTGCCACTTAACGCCCACCACGATTTTGCTTTCAACAACTACCATCATCAAGTCATACATATTATTGATTGAGGACTGCTATTGGTAGTCTGGATTCCATGCTGGCATGAGATTCGCTTCTTTAACTTTGCCGTTGTCGCTTTTCACAACATGGTCCGTGATTCAAGCCGCTGCCGCCCCGGCGGCAGGCTCACAGGTCCTGACCCCTCAAGACTTCAATCAGACCATCGCAGACGGTGTTTGGTGCGTCCTATTCATATAAGGCCTTGTTTTTTTTTCAACAAGGAGAGTAGGTTCATCGAACATTTTTCCCCATATTGTCGGCATTGTCGCAACTTTGAACCGACATGGAACCGTGTAGTAGATAAATTCGAGAAGAAACCCGATCTAGGGATACATCTGGCACAGGTGAATTGTGCGTTGAATGGAGGTGAGTGAGTTCTCCAAGTTTCCTGGGCCACTAACAGACCTTCTCAATCGTGGAAGACTTGTGCACCGAAAACGGTGTTACAGGATACCCTCAAATGAACCTCTACCGAAACGGGCGCTTTGTAGAGACCTTCACTAAAGATCGCGACTTCGATATCCTTGTAGATTTTCTTCTTGCGCGTGCTGAACCTACTGCAAATTCCTTGCCATCCTCGGCTGTGGTTGAGCAGGAGGAAATGACAGCCGTGATCGCTCCTGTAGAGGAGAATTTGATGGTCCACGAGTCGCAGGTGGAATCCAACCCTTTAGGAGAGGTGATATCCTTAACTAGCGAGACGTTCGACAACATTGTAGACCAGGCGCCTATATTTGTCAAGTTCTTTGCGCCGTGGTACGCTGCATTGGTTATAGACTAAAATGTGCTTTAACAGTCATTTTTTAGGTGTGGACACTGCAAGAAACTTGCTCCAACGTGGATACAGGTTGCTCGTCGCATGCAACATAAGCTCAACATCGCGGAAGTCAATTGTGATGAGTACAAGTCGCTATGCTCGAAGCAAGGAGTCACGGGTTATCCTATGCTGTTCTACTACTCTCATGGCACAAAGACAGAGTACTCGGGAAGTAGAAAATATGAGCCGCTCGTGGCTTTTGCTGACAAGGCAGCATCTCCGTATGGAAAACTTCTCCAGAGTCATAGGCAGTTTTTGATGTCTGCTACAGGATCATGCAACCAATAAGTGCTCAGGATCTCAACAAGGTTGTTCATGAAAATCCTGTTGCGTATGTCCTCTTATTTTCTTCATCAAATGAACATACTGTCGTACGTGCACCGCATTATGTGCCTTGTTCAGTACTGACGACGTTTTAGAGTGAGATCGCCAAAGACACTCAGATGCTCCTTGGGTCGCCCCCTGTATTTCTATCATCCTCCAGGGAACTTTTTGCTCGCTACGACATCCCAGCGACAGAATCCTGGGCCATCCTGGCATTCAAAGATAATGACCCACAGGAACCCACCTCAGTCTTTAGCTCATCCAGTTCTGACATACTTAGCACTTGGCTCTTTGCCAATCGCCTCCCAACCTCCCTCGAGCTCTCACGTGATGCGTTTCAACAGGTAATGAATGCTCCACATAAGCCACTTGTTGTTATCGCTGCGACGCCCGGTGACGTGCAAAATGATATCTCATCGAAGTTGAACGATATCGCGAAGAAGTGGCGCATGCGTAAGAGCTATGTTGGCAAGCAAGATGTGGTATTCGCGTGGATGGACGCTGATCAATGGGGAAGTTGGATGAAGAGTATGTACGGTGTGAAGGTCAAAGACCAGCCGAAGGTGGTCGTTGCTGATCATAATGTAAGTAGATTGTAATTCCTGTCCATTTCATGTACCATGCTAATAATTGAATAGCGCCTAATCTACTGGGATAGGGATACTACTGGGCAACCTATTCAGCTAAACGCCGTCAGCATATTCTCTGCTATCGAAGGAGTTTACGACAACAAAATACGTTCTAAGCACTCAGAGAACATCCTAGAACGCTTTCTTCGGGTATGTCACTATTGAGTCATTATCAGCTCTCTCCCTCACAAGTCCATACACAAAGGTCTTAAACTCAAGTCTCACAAGCACTGAGAGTTTTATCATTGCCCATCCGTATATGGCCGTCCTGCTGATTCTTGGATTTTTGGCAGCGGTCGTTATGGCGATCAAGAAACTTTTGGATGATGATACAGATGTGCAGTCCGGGCATAAGTACTTCAAGGGTGGTCGTCTAGATTGATTTATGGACCCTTTTCTTAAACTCAGACGTAAATTTGCTAGGAGGGAGTCAGCGTGATGGTCGGTAAGCCTGATCGCAAGGCCAGAAATCGAAGCACCTCAGCCTGGGTCGCTAAACCATAAGTTTCGGTCTTACATACGTGCTTGACATTGCACAGCACTAAATAAAGCAGTTGACTGCATGCGCCACGGCTGCCCACCTATGCACGCATCACTGATGGTTCATGCATGGCTGTAGTGCAATTGGACACCCAATCATTCGTCTCAAGGCGGAACACGCAGACGCCTCGAGGCAATCATTCTTCTTGATGTCTCCTCCTAAGTACAGCAGAGCCTCAAGGTTCTGCGTTAGCATCCTATCCGTAGCTCTCCTGTCATGTCACAATGGGAATCATTACCAACATGGTTGCAAGTGAGCAAATCGGTCGTATCATTGGTGATTATTGATGTGCTTATTGTGGTCCCAGAATCAAGTTAAACAAATTGAAGGAGGATTATTATCGTCGTCGCTTGCGTCCCTCAAATCGCTCAACCGCTCAATCTCTTCTAAAGAGTTCTCTGATCATTTACGTCCTTACTTTCAAACACTCATTCCCCTTTTTTTCGTTCATCTCGATCCAAGGCTCGTTCCCCATGAGATCACTCCAGATTCTGTACATTCAATCATGCTCGCTAAGGTGTCTATCATAAGCATTAGTTGCCTATGCGGAGGGAATCAAGGGGAATTATGCGGTGCACCCCAATTTCGTCAGAAGCTGTCCGACGCTATGCATTCGAATTGGAGTGGGGTGTTTGCATGGTTCAATTTTTCTACCATAATTTCCTCGTCCCGCGGGATGACCCAGTGGCACGCCTACACAGAATCTACAGCGTAACCTCGCAGGAAGCTGCCAGCACCTCAACACTGTTCATCTATGTGGCTAGCGTGCTTCCCGGTGTTGTCGCAGATCTCCATCGAACAACGCCAAAGATCGAGGGAATCATCATGGAACTCTGGTACTTGGTAACGGATATCAAATGCGAAGATTGCATTGTTGATCCATATATTCGCCACTGGCGTCAGGACTTCAACATGCTTCGCGCATTCATGGCGCATGTAGTCCCCTCGTGCGTGTACTATGAGCCTAGCACTCCTCTCCCGCCTTTGACATCGCTCATCGAAACCGCTGGAGGAAGGATTCCTATTGTATTGGCTGCTCTCAAATGCCTACGTTTTGCGGGAAAGGGAGTGGCTCAGAGAGACCGCGACGTTGTCAAGCATGACCTTGATCTTAGCTCCTTGAATACTCTCTCGTTGACGTGCAAGCAAACGCTCATCTTTATGTTTGCTACAAGCCAGGCAGACCCTGTCATTTGCGAACTTTTTCTCACACATTGCTCGATGCGCACAGTTCTCAACACGTTAGCCGGAATAGGAACGCGTCCAGGTCCAGAACCTGATCTAGATCCTACCAATGAAAACTTCTGTCAAAAGACTACAACAAAGCGGGCTGCTATGGCTATTGGTCAGCAGTACATATCATTCGTGTTGGTGTGTTCTAATAATCCCATTGAAACTGCCTGCCACGCCCTTCGTTGTTGTCTTCTGGAGGTTCTCCTACGGAACGGTGTATTCCCTTCCGAAAATCGCTTACAGAAGTCCAGATGGTCGGATTATGACATCAGGATTTTGAACAGCTAGGGGGGGCGTTAATCTATGAGAGGGTCGTTCGTATCGCCTCGATGTCTATGCAATACATCGATTCTCAGCGCCTTTACGTCCATGCTATGCATGATCCAACATCATGGGGCTCGCTGTTGACCTTCAAAGAGATCCCTTCGCGGCGTTGGAGGATTCTCTCTGCGTTAACGCCGTATACACGCCCAGGGTACGAACAAACCTGTGGAGGTCCCGAGGTATGAACTTTCCGTGTCAAGTTTGGCCCATGCTGATAACGGTTATAGTGTATCAGTGTGAGCACCAGACTTCAACGGTGTGCTGGATGCCAGACCACGAAATACTGTTCAAAATCTTGCCAGCGAGCACCATGGTTGACTGTCCACCGTAAGCATTGCAGTATCTCAAAGGCCGGAATTGGTGTGTAAATCGATATACATATATATCTACTCCTGTTGACGGTTAGCAGGAATGGCCAAGGCTGGCAGGCACCTTCGGACAAGTTTGTCATTCATTGCATTGATTGAGGCAGCTGAGTTCAATGACGACAAGTGGCCAGGACAGCGTGCTCTATGATACAAACTGGCCACCGTTCGAAAAGAGAATCCAGCAGATGTTCACTCCTTGGTGCTCGAGTTGGACATGGCTGTCCTCCTTATCAAACATCGCATACAACCCCTTCGGCAATGTATCGGACAATTTCAAGACACAAATTGGATGAGGATCATCCAGGGCAGGCAAGCCTTACAGGGCAATAGTATGCTTCCTAGGACGATAATGATTACCACAATCCGAGGGCGCTAGGAGGTCACTTTTCAGCCCACGGACGGCTCTGCAATTAGCATTTGGATGGCCGCCATCTGAGTTCACTGAAAAACTTCCTGGTATCCCGCGCAGTGTTCTGTTTGATTACTGCACCAAAGGATGAATCGAAATATGACCCCAAGAGTACCCCACACTCGCGATTGATGCTGCAGAGTACCCGCGTATAGTAGGTCTGGAGGCCCAGGACCAAAGGATTGGTAGTACGTGGACAGAAAATGCGTTGGCAGCAGACTGCAGCTCAGAGCGCTGCACTCGTTGTACGCGGATCATTCATCATATACTCAGTCTTCAATGAGCGGAATTGAACTTGCAGTAGGTGCGATAGGCTGGCCGTCCAGTCAGATTTGAGTCAGGTACTAACAAGTTGTGTTACAAGTGCTATTTGGTGGTTCTCCAACTTGAAGAGTACCATTGAATCTTGTGTGTATTGTAAAACCGTCGGTGTGCCACTAAGTCAATCAATAAAGTATACGACTAGTGACCAGCCAACTTACGTTTTTTCTTCACGCGAGTCGACTGAGATGACCACAATGTTCTCTTGAAAGCACTCCACCTTGTTGATTTTAAATAGGTCACCTTGGTTAGCTCCTATGATGAGCTCGTCGAAGAAGAAGCCCCTCTTGTCAACGGCTGGGCTGCTGCTGCCACTGTGGCGCAACTTGGACTCACCGTGATTGCGTCGTCACTGACATTCCGCACTCGAATATTACTCCAGAGGTTGACTAAATTCCGAAGACGCGCGACTTGCGGCCTTCCTTGTTGTCCCCTACGACCTGGTGTTTCACTGCCAGCGACTAGGTCGAAGGCTACTGTTGGTCGCGCACGAACCATCTCTTCGCGCCGCCTAGTAGCCTATCTCCCGGCAGTTTTCGATGTTGGGACTTGAAGTCCCTACGGCCGAGTCCCGATGACGCAACCGCAACAACACAATGGCCTCATTCATGTCCCCTGCGACGTGGAGTTCCACTACCAAACAAGGCCAAGGCCACCGCTCGCTGCCTCGCATATGTCCTATGTCCTTTCTCTTTCCTTGGTCATGCGGACCTCTCTTGGTTTCTTCCCTTGCATCAGTATGGACTCGTCTCTTCCTATATTACGGTTTATTTTGTTGACAATGTTTCCACATTTTCATACATGTACCAGTATTAGATATTGACAATTTGTAGTTTCTGAATCCCATCTTCTTTGCACATACTTGAGGAACATATTTTGCACGCATATGTTAAAATTGACTAGTGGGTCAACGAGACCTGCAAACCCAACACAGCCCGAAAAACCTTCAGGGCATTTGTGAACCATCATGTTCGAGGCAACTTGAAAAGAATTCATCGCAGGGGTATGATACAAATGTATATAGACAATAGTGTACACAGGTGTTATGCAGGATGGTAGTGTCGCAATGAATGAATGATTAGTGAGCAGATACTTTTAGTATTCCAATCATGGCGTCTACAAAAATATCGCGCCTTCTCCAGTGTTGCCGAGTCCGTGTTATAATCAAGCAGTGGAAACTTCTCAACTATAGTGTGATCAAGGAGATACTGCCCATGGCGAGACAGAATCATCGCTCATGATGCCTCGTATCCGATTGTATACTGCAGCAGGGAATTGTCTTGACAGAAGTCAGTTTCAACTATAGGGAGCCAGAGGATATGGATGTACCTTTCCTGTAGTCGTGCCAAAAGTGCGACCGCTCTGTCACGATAACCATTACCTAGCTCTGCGCGGAACATAGCTTCCCACGTAGATGGCTGAAAAGGAGGGTTAATTCTCGTCGATATGTATTTGCTGTAATACTCACCTCGCGGTATGACAGGGATGACGACGGGGACGTACGCTGATTGGAACCTTCATGAGGAACATGATTGCCTGAGGCTGCAACGCCGCTAGGGGGATCCACCAAGTTCTCAAATATTCTTCGAGCTTCTTCAATGTCCCCGGCAGCAGCATAGCCCTTGATCAAGAGGTTGGCGATATACGCCGTCATATGTACACCAGAGGACTTCAACTTCTCCATGTAACTGGGTGCAAGAGCCATTTGCTTGTTGGTGACGAGCACATTGACGAGGGACTCATAGGCGACAGCATCAGGTGCTGGAATAGAGTCGAATGTACTGATCGCCTTCTCCAAGTCCTTCTTCACGCAACCATATGCGTTGATAAGGGCAGCCCAATGGCTGCCTTGAAGCACCACTGACCTGTTGTTTCTGAGGAGCTCGAACACGCTTTCCATAGCGCGGACATCGACGGGTTCAATAGTTCCATATGCATCGATGAGCAACTGAAATGTACATCAAGGATGAGTAAATAAAAGAGTTAGACGACATACCTTGTACGTGTGGGCAGAAGGCTTGACACCGGCAAGAAGAAGCTGATCGTAATAATGAAGCACCCTCTCACGATCAGGCTTTGTGTGCGCGTACAGTTGCATCATCATATTGTAGGGTGGGATGCGAGGCTTGAAGTTGGGTTGCGAAGACATCTCCAAGAACAACTGCTCGGCAGACTGAGCATCACCGACACGTGCGCAAGCAGCTATGACGGCACCGTATGTGATCGAGGATGGGCGAACACCAGGCGTAGCCTTCATCTGTTGGAACAGCTCGAGTGCGAAGTCAGCCTTGCGTGCTTTGGCGAGCTTGGAGATGATCGTGTTGTATAGGTAGACATTTGGCGTGCATCCAAGCATCTGAGCCTCACCGAAGAGAGCCATGGCGTTAGAGGTGTCATCTGTGGTGTCCTTGACACATTCTATGAGGGATCCATAGGCATCAGGAGAAGGAATTCCGCCATTGGATGTAATGCGATCTCGATGCTGAAATGCGGCTTCCATGTCCCCGGCATGTGCGCACGCGATGATCATCTGGTCTTCGATTTGGAACCACGCCTGAGACTGCCACTGCTTGTTATCGATTGAAGATAATACGATTTGCGCAATATCATAGAGGCTGTGCACCTTGTGCAGATCACCGACACGTCCGAAGCCATTGATGAGCCGCCCGAGGGTAGAGGGGTGAACGTACTTGCCAGTGGCAATTCCGTCTTGAAGGCGGCGGTAGGCTTCGTGGATCGTCACGGTGGGGTGCGATGGGAACCAATCATCGACGTTGCGGCTGAGCGTACCATCGACGACGACGTCCTTAATGGGAGGATACATTTGCATCACAGGGTTAGGGGACATGTTACGCGACTCGCTGGGCTTCTCGAGTGCGATACGGAAGTCAGATGACACCTTTCCAAAGAATTCATCCCGCTGCTCTTTCGAGTAGCCAGCATATAGCGCATCCGAAAGTTTGGAGATGAGGCTTGCTTTCAATTTAGATAGCTGGAGGTTTTGCTTGGAAAGCGCAGTGAGAAGGGGAATGAGGCCCTTGTATGCACAGTTTTTGGCTGTGATGATCTGCTCCACATCGGTCTCTGCTGCAAGATTGGCGAGGGCACTGGATAGGAGTGCTTCATGTTCACGGAAGCCAATGTCATATTGCGACATGTTACCGCGGTTGTAAGTCGACATATAGGCGTGTAGATAAATAGCTGCCAACTCTGTGCTCAGAGAGACATTTACTTTGTTTGCTAGTTTGACAAGCCTGAGCACATCCTTGAAAGCGGGCGTAATCTTCTTAACTCCGGATTTGCTAATAGTCCCGGATTGAAGGTAGTTGACATTGGCTTCGAGAACAAGGGTATGGTCTAAACGGCGCACTTCGAGGCCGTCGCGAGGGGCACATTCAACAAGAATGTCGTAGAGCCTATTGAGATCTGCGATCATGCCCTCCTGAGCGAGGAAGTCAAGCATCACTACCCATGCAAGCTGGTCAGGGCGAGGGGGAACAAGTGAAGATTCATGTGGATGACGAGCTGCTTCACCCTGCTGTAGCAGGCGGTCAAACCAAGACAAAGCACTTGTGACGTCTCCTGAGTAGCAGAAACCAGCAATGATGGACGAGAACGTGGACGAGGAGGGCGAGGGAACTTCCGGCGAGAGTTCAGCAGGGTTAGCGTTACTATCCATCATGGTTTCCAGGAGGCGGAGAGCACCTGCGGGCTGGCCACCACGGAAGTAAGCCTCGATCATTTTATTCCAGACAAGAAGTTGTCCCCGAGTGATCGAGCTGGCTACGGCTGCCTCAGGAGCGGCGGAAAAATCAAGCCCTTTGACGCGGCCTGCCTTGCTGGCTTCCCTGAACTCCTGGAACACCTCCTTAGCGCCCTGCAGATCATTTGCATTGGCGTATACAGAAAGGAGATTCAAGAAGACTTGAGGGCCAGGGAGGAAATCAGTACGTGATTCCAGCTGCGCAAATACGCGAATGGCAGCATCCACATCAGCTTGGAATGCACATGAGCGGAGAAGATTGGTGTAGATCGCAAGAGGGAACTTGTTGCGTGCGCCAACCTTCAACGCTGCGTCAAACATAGTCATGGCGGTGGCAAAGTTGTTCTCTGCCTTAAGCTGCTCGATGCGCTTCTCATCTACTTCATCAATAGCGACCTCCCAGCGACCGAGAAGCTTGCGGCGCTTGACGCGACCATCAAGAACTCCAATAGACTTGTGGACCTCGTAATCGCGCTCGGTAAGAGCGAGAATTAGAGAGATGTAGGTGCGAATATTCGGCTTAAGGGAGCATCGGACCATGTCATTGTATGTCTCGAGCAAAAGTGTAAGGGGTTCGCCAGGGCGACGAGTTTCGTGGAGACCAGATAAAGCCATGTTAAACTCTGAAACCATGGGGTTCTTATGAATTGTGCGGAGGACATGAACTTCGTGAATGACACTAGCACCATCACCAGATCGCGCTGCCCGACGAAGAGACTGATACATTGCGGAGAATTTGTCACTCTCATCGTCTGCGACTGGGTCTGTCACGGACTGCGGGGCTGCCGGATCGGTAGGTATGGATGTGTCAGGGACTGAAGGGACCGGAGGTGGGGGTAAATCATCAATGGAACCGGATGTACTCAGTGAAGCTGTAGAGTTACGCCGTGTGAGGAGAGCCCGCGAAGAATCAGAGGGAGACTCGTCGAGCGCTTCGCCGGATGCGGCGAATGTGTGTTTTGAACGAACATGTAATTGAACGGTGTGCAAGACACCTAAAGATTCTTGTTGTCCATGCTCGTGCTCACTGAGTGTACCAAGAGAAAGACTATGCCGACGGGCAATGGGGCGCTTGGAAGAGCGGGGTTCGACGCGCTTGGAAACGATTTCGTCACGCTCGTCGCTCTGTTCAGCATTGCCATCGTGTGAGGCAGACGCATTTGCTTGTGTCACAGCACGCCCAGCTCCCTGCAAAATTTCAGAATCATGTCAGACCTAGAAGTACACAGCAACTGACCGTATACCCGTTATAGAACCGACTTCCTGCATTGAATTTTGCGCCGCCTGGGCCAGCACCATTGCTACCCCAGCTTGAGCTGCCGGCGCCAGTCCATGCTGTAGGCGCGCTTGGTGCAGACGACTGAAGTTGAAGTACGTTACGGAGAGTATGACCTGACTGGTTCTGGACGGCTGCTACTGCACGAGAAGTGTGCAGAAGGATGTGATTAGCGACCTTGGGAAGCATGGTCGCGATTGCGAGCCGATGCTAAAAGTCGCACGATTGAAGCTTGGTGGTCGTCGAGGGCGACGAGTGAAGGAGTTGTTAGCACTTGGCTGGGAAACTTAGATCTAATGAGTTTGCAACGATAGCAATAAAAGTAAAAATTGGTTACTCGGGTGATCTCGGGTTAGATGCATGCCGTGATTTGCCGTGACTCACGCCGAGCCTCAACGCAAGTCGTACTCACGAGTTCGTGTTCACCTAGCGTTTTTGAGCCAGCACATGTAAATCATCATTGTAATTAAATGTTCCTGCATTGTTAATGAGTAGTTACATGTCTTTTATTTTTTAAATGATTGTGTTGTGCAAGTATCATGAGAGACAATTTGGTATACTGATCAGCGTCGGGAAGGCAAACTCACAGCAATTTCGAGCTCAAAAGTACTTAGAACATTGGAGCTGAGCTAAATGACAATATCCGAGGTTGAACGTTGATTTGCCAAACTACTGATGCACAGGTGAAGGATGTGTTATCTGGCAATCTACCACATTATTTTGAAGTCCCGCCATGCCGAACGGAGTTGTCACGTGAGCGAGCGCCCGTGTGTGGCGGACTTCCAATCGGCAATGTCGGCAACCTGTGACGCAGTGCGATAAATGCAGGAACACTATCTAAAGGTGCTCCGACACGCTGCAGTAACACAAAACTTTTCTGAATATAAAAATTTGGGCCATGTTATTGAGATGCTAATCTATTTATCAATGACTATCCGATATTGGTTTTGTTTGTGGATCGAGAGCAATACGTGAAACTGTCAAAAACGCACGAACACTCGGGCTCATCAAGCATCATATCTATCGCACAGCAATCAACATGTCGTCAGGCGACTACGAGTTCGGCCTCATCACATGGCACGCCAATCCTGGGACAAAACATCTACCCAAGTGTGTGTTTCATCCTCAGCAGTTTCTGTCACATCTATCAATCCACTGAATGAAACTTGAACAGGCCGCTGTAAACGGGACGTAGTAACATGCGTGGAAGATATAGATATCACGCGGGCGACTGTTATCAGCATCTCGGGCGTCCACGTCATAGTGCTGATAGCAAGAGCCTGGGCGTGTCGATGAGCATTCCTGTGCATTACTGATAGAAGAAGCCCACCTTGTATGCAATGATGTTATTCAATGTCACTTGTGATGTACTAGTGATTTTTGGAAGCAAGTCCCACTGCTGGTCCGCACGAAGGTAAAGGACTTCGTCTGGGTTGGCCGGTACTTCAGCCGAACCATAATCGAGACTGAAATCAGCAGTGTACGATTCATTGTCGTAGGAAGCCGTGGTAGGCTCCTCTTTTGATCTCCGTTTCTTCTTCGACCATTTACCTTCCTCTACATCCACACTCGTTACGAATATATTCGACGGCAAGCTATCCCGTTCCGAAGGAGGAATCAGCCTTGCGAGCTTGATGGGAGGCACTGCGACCTTTTCCAGATTTGAAGTTCCAGTAGTTACGAGCTTATCCGGAAGCTCAGTTTGTATGGGGGCATTTTCAAGCTCCGCAAACACGATCTTTGGAGGCAGGGGCTTGTCCATAAGCTGGCGGAAATTCTTTTTCTTGTTTTTGTTCCGCAGGGACATCATCATCACGTTGGGTTCAGACTCGGGCTCTGCATCAGCAACATAGGCTTCAGAGGTGGTACGGGTTAAGAAATTTTGCTGAACTGGAAGGGGTAGGACGGCATTAGCACCGGATGTGGGTGCTAAAGGTTTGTTAGGGGGTTGATTGTGCGCCGCCACACGTTTTCGCCGTCTGCGGAGATTGCGATTGCGGGTGGAAGGCTTACCGTAACCCGGGGGGACAAACGAGATGCTAGTGGATCTACGTAAGTGACGAAGGGATTTGAACAGTTCTCGTACTTGTCTTGCAGATTTTTTGATTTTGTAGTTGCATTCATGCGCTTGCCTGACTCAGATGACTGCTGTGAGGGTTTTGGGGCGTCCGTGTCTGAATCAGAGTCCGATTCCGAGGAATTGGATGAGCTGGATGACTCGTCCGATGAGTCAGATGAAGTAGAACTCAAGGATGAGCTGGACGAAGGTTCCAAGGACGGAGATGCACGGCGTTTACGCTTCTGAGTGACAGGCAAGAGCACACTGTTACTCGACAAACTAAGCCGGGATGTTGCTGCTGCGCGTTTGATGCTATCAAGAATATGAGCTCACCAAAGTAAATGGTGTAATTTATGCTCACCAAACAGCATCCCCGTCGCGTAAAATTGACATAGGACTGTCATCCAGAAGATCATACTCGTCCATCATGAGAGTAATGTTATCGGCTTGCATACCAATAGGCAGCCATGCGCATAGCGCACATTTGAGTTGCGCGATTGTGTGGGCCTCATCATCTAGAGCAAACCATGCTTTGAACGGCCCCAACGGATAAGCTGTCGAGATTTTGAGACGCATGATGGCAGCGGCAGTTTAAACACCGAACTTACGTTAAAACCTCAGCAACATTATGATCATGATATTCTGGCCGAACGAATTCACCTGCAGCTTCGCTCGTGTCTTGTATTTAGTGAACATTCGTATCGAGAAGTACTAATATTTACTTTTAATCAGGAGTAAAATAATATTTAATCAAGCGAGGCAGTTCTAGGGAAATGTCGAGTGGACGGTTCGACCCTAGAAGTATAGATGTCCCACGGGTGTATTTACTTTATGCACTTACTTCTCCTCAAGCCACGTCGACTTTCACTCAAACCCGTTTCTTTCCCTTAATTTTTGCACGGACTGGCAGTTAAATAATCGTTTGTCGCTAACCTGCAGCGATGGCAAACTATCACTACGATGAGGCAGGCAATATGGCCGCCTATTTTGTCATTTCTGTCCTTGTTATTATTCTGCTGCCTGCTACATTTTCATCACTTGCAAGCGTGTCTTCCAGTGAGCATACTTCTTTGTTCTTCTGAATTCGACTAAAATTTGTACAGAACGCCCAGAGCTGGATAGTGGGTGTCAATGCACACCCTGTATACAGCGGAGAACTGAAGTGAGGAGGCACCGGCGTGGCTCCCTGCTACGACCAAAGTTTACCAGAAAGTGAGACATTTGCGCGGTTCTGAATGCCACTCACGCTCTAAAAGCGCGTTATTAATCACCGCGGGCTGGGCTGCTGTCGCGTTCCTTTCATTCAAAGCTGCAAACGCAGAAATAGAAAATAAGGTCTATAATCCATTCGAGATCCTTGAAATCAGCACGGTATGTAGAACTTGATATATCTGCCCTTTTCGGTCACTAACATCATGCAGGGAGCAACGGAGAAGGAGATCAAGTCGCGTTTCAAGGAACTTTCACGAATATAGTACGCGTCTGATTCCTCATGCTACAAACCGTACAAACTTATCATTCTCAGTCATCCCGACAAAGTCAAAGCAACCATCAATGTGACAATAGAGGATATCGCTAACCGTTTCGTAGAAATCACCAAGGCGTACAAGTCGTACGTCGTATGTTGAATCCGTGGTCAGGTATGATCCCACTAACACCATTTCAAGGTTAACAGATGAGACCATTCGCCGCAACTGGGAGCTTTTTGGGCATCCCGATGGCCGACAGGAAGTCTCGATGGGCATTGCTTTGCCCAAGTGGGTCATTGAAGGCAAAAACAATATCTGGGTTCTCGGTGTATATGGCATCCTCTTCGGCGGCGCACTCCCCACGCTTGTGGTACGTCTCCCACCGTTGCCTTACCTTTATTGGTCCTTATTCAGCATAGGGTCGCTGGTGGTTTGGTAACCGCCAAAAAACAAAAGATGGGATTAATGCAAAGACCGCCGCTGCGTTCTTCAAGGCACTCACAGACAGCAGCGACATGAAGGAGGTTATTGGTGCGCTGGGCCAGGCATACCGCTGGGAGACTACGTGGGCAGGCACCGCAGTTGGATTAGAGGAGCTCGAGAAACAGGTTGATGAAAAAATGGGCGGTCAATGGAGGGAGGTACAGGATCTTGTAGCTCCTGGTGGAAAATGCGAAGGAACCGAGCAGCGGGCATTGGTACTGTTGTATGCGCACTTCCTGAGGTTAAAGATCAGCAATGATGCACTTAAACATGGTAGGGTTTGACTTTCAGGATGGGATAGTGTTTCTGATCGTTTGCGCCTCCAGAACAAGCCAAGTTATTGTTGCAAGCCCCAATGCTGCTCAACGCACTGCTAGGAATCTCCGCTGCACGGAGTTGGTTGATACCCACCTTGATGGTGATGCGTTTGCACGCCTACGTCACGCAGGCGCTTCTCCCCGGAAAACCTGTTGCACCCCAAGCTCAATTACCTGGCTTCGATGGCGATGCTGATGTATCAGAAGGGAAAGACCTCGCCTTGTTCATATCTCGCTTAGAGGACGAAGGAGACATTCGGAAAACGGAAGCACGAAAGGCTGTTGAGGGTTGGAGTCGGTTGGATGTTGTGGATGTGTCTTTCAAGGGTTCGTTCTCCATTGTGATAATCAACTCAGTACTTATTTTATTCTAGTTATTGGCGAACGCTTGATCACACCGTCATCTATCGTCTTCCTCCTTGTTAAACTGCGTCTTCGTCAGCCACTTCAAAGTGATGCACTCTCGTCTGTTTCAGAAAAATCTGCGAAGACCATCCGGGAGGACAGGGAGAAAGACGACAAATTCTTGAACAGCCGACAGGGTGCAGAGGATATCGAGGGGGTCACACCTGTGTGGGCTCACGCACCTCACTGGCCAGGGGTCTGTCTTTTTCTTACGTGTCATCTCTGCATATCTGAAAACATTCACAGCTGCGCAAGCCAGGCTGGTGGCTTGTCCTCGCTGATGACAAGTCAAATAGAATTGTTGTTCCCCCAATGAAGATCTCAGACGTACCCGCGTCATGCCCCGGGAAGGAACGTGACTACCGCTCCTACAAGTTACAGTTCCAGGCTCCCCCCAACGTGGGCTTGTTCACTTGGAAGGTGTACCTGATAAGTGACACGCTCGTGGGTGAGGAGTTATGCCAGGACATTTCAGTGAGTTCTCCTTAAGCTTTACGGTGGCACGATGATTGATGTAGCACATAGCTCAAAATCGATGATATATCTGCACTCAATGCAGAGGAGCAAACAGCAGAGGATGAGATTTCTGATCCTGAGGAGGATTCATTGGCCGGTCAGATGGCTGCGATGCGGGGAGGAGCTGTGAAGCGTACAGCCGCGCCTGAGGAAAGCGAGGAGGAGAGTTCGACCGATGAGGAGCAGCATGGTGATGATAGTTCAGATAGTGATTAGATGTTGTCTGATTAGATTACACATCCATATCTTCGTATTTTATCTGCCTCCCCTCTTTACGGTAGTAAAGCCATCCTCGTCAACGTCTGGTACGTCCTTTGCATGATCGAGCAGCTGTGGAACAACATACTTCCCGAAATCTTCGCCGTCGCTTCCATTTTCATCCTCATTATCACCGTCGCTATCGCTCCAATCACTTGCACTCCCTGCATCAACTTCATACTGTGGCATTTTTCCTTTCATCTGATCCGCTTGCATCTCCAAGTCCTTGACATATCCATCCATCCCCTCCTTCGCATCGTTCCACAAACGCACAACATCTCTAGCAATGTCAAATGCGCTTCCATCCTCGAGCGCAACTTCAAACTCGTCATCCATGATCTGGAGCAGCATCGTTTCTATGTATTCGGTGTCTGGTTCAGGGAGCATGTGCGATGGATGCATGGGGGCTGATTGAGAGGAATCGAAAGCTGTCAATGAAGCAGATGCTGATGGAAGGGATGCCTCGAATTCATCTATGATGACACCTGCTAACCAACGCTGTTTTTGTGCGCTTTGTGGACCTCCCCAGTTTTGGTGTACAGCTATGCGAAGAGCTGGCCATAGCGCGAGACGGGCTAGTAGGCCACGCGCGAATAAGACTGATAGAGGTGACGCGTCTGAGGCCATCACATTAATGGTGAAAGATGAGTAGGATGGCTTACTAAGCGGTGATATGCGGCTACAGATACTAGTAATGCCACCCGATGACATCTTAGATATATGAGATATTTATTCTCTCTTCACAGAAGACGCCCGCAATGACCTGACCAGGTTATTCACAAGGCATAAAACTCATCGGCCTCAGGATGTTGTGATGACTCGTAGAGTTATAATCACAGATTGGCGAAAATTATGTTATCTTTTCGTTCGTTGTCAGAATCAAGCTTTCTGCATGCATTGTGGCAAGGCGAGGCCAGCAGCGGACCTCCCCATCGATACTCATTGTATTCACATTCGCTGTGTATGCATTTTTCAAGCCAAAACGACCGCGAAGCCTTGAGTTTTGAGGCACAAACTGAGCGAAAATCCCATTCAAACACCTCTCGCTCTTCATCATTTCGGCCTCCAAAAAGCCAGTGTTAATGATGATTTCGAAACGAGTCGATTAAAATGCAGAGCCTTATTGTTGTCGACATATATTGTTACATATGCATCTCCGTCGCCTCGACTCTCGTTGGAGCGCACGCTCAGCGACCGTCCGGTCTTGGTTCTATAATCACAAAGATCAGTTCAAGTCATACTTCGTTGAAAAATCAATACTCACGTGACCATTGTACGCTCAAAATCAAATTATCATAACCTTTGCCGTTTAGTTTTTCCATGGCCCGCTGGGCAATAGCGCGCTCATCAAAGGACACAAATGCAAAGCCTTTGCCGATACCCGTCTCTCGGTCACGGCCGACGTAAACCCTCGCTACACGCCCGAACGTACCAAAAAGCTCACGAAGATCGGATTCTTGTGTGTCTTCAGAGATATTAGTGACACGAAGTGTGGGGAGGTCTTCGCGAGAGCCCCCTGTGCGTCCCATGGATTCACCGGGACGAGAAGCACCACCACGCATCGATGGTGGTACATATTTTCCGCCAGTCGCTCCGCTGGCTGCAGGAGCAGGTATGTCGGCCGCGTCATCAGTAGGTGGCAGGTCTGTCCGTATTCGTGTCAATAATATCGAGCATGAAGTGAATTAGACATGCTGCAAAAAATACTAACCAGCAGTTTCGAGTCCGGCGAGAGAATCCTTATACGGGCACTTCGCGGTGAAGTGATCGCCTTTGCAAAGACGACAGACAACCTTGCCTGCACCGGCCTTTGCAAGTTCAGTTTTGATATTTTGCTCGGGCGTTACCTCCGGCTCAGCGGACTTTCACGGCTGTCAGTCCAAGAACAGATGGACTTGATAAACAAACCTTGTTGCCTGCACTTATTTTCAAAGCCACATTCTCTCCTACTGTGGTCGTCGCTCGATCTGGCCCTTCCTTGTTTCCTCGTTCCTTGCCGAACTTGGCCCATTTCTTGCGTTCAGCAACTGTGTGCTCGACGACGGATTTTTGAAGCGTACGTTTTATTTTACGAGTTATCTTGTAGAAATTTATCAGTATAATGGAATGAAAAAGATGCCGACATGGCAGATGGTACAGATGAGGCATAACACGCAGACCGCTGGACAGACATACCTTGACCTTCTTTCCTTCATCATTTATAGCATACTCGATGGTGATACGGATTCCATTTTCATCCACATAATCCTCAATCTTTGGTTGATCTACTTGAGAACGTTAGACTGCGATGTGATTGTGGACGCGAAGGTGAGCATTTACCAAGCTCGTCAACGTCATCTGCCCAGGAAGTTTTTGGTATACTGTAAAAAATTGTGAATATGACAGCTCAAATCATGGAAACTTCAAGCCTACGTTGCTGCCGCCATGTTATCAATGAACAAGTATGTTTCCGGTGCTATGCCATGGCTCTTTACAGAATCATGGTGGCGGTGCCAATCACGTGATTGGAATTTTACAGCTCCACTAGATCACTAGTTCCACATCGCCCTCGACGTCCTCAAGTTCGCCACATAATCGCCCTCTTCAATGGTAAGTTTTTGTCTTTTGCATGTCATAGTCTGAATCTGCAGCAGAATCATGTCGGAATACGAACAATTCGAATCCAAATGGTGGATTGCCAAACCACACTTTGGATGTAGTACCTCTATCATCACAACCGCTAACGTGTTCCTCCATTTGCAATGCGCAGGCCTCATTTGAACTTGCTGCAACTTACGCCGCACTTATCCTCGCTGATGAGGGTATTGAAATTACCGTGCGTATCTTGCAGGTTTCACATCCATATTTATTGTAGCTCAAGAGGCATATCAGGCTGACAAAATACTCGCCTTGACTGAAGCCGCCTCGGTCGAGCTCGAGCCAATCTGGGCAACTCTCCTTGCTAAGGCTTTGGAGGGAAAGAATGTGAAGGATCTGCTATCAAACGTCGGTGCTGGTGGAGGTGCACCGGCCGTTGGCGCACCCGTTGCTGCTGCCGTTGGTGGTGCAGCTGCCGTCGAGGCACCAAAAGAAGAGGAGAAGAAGGAGGAAGCAAAAGAGGAGTCAGACGACGATATGGTACGCACTCAAATGGCCTTTTCCATTCACCACGGGGTGCTGATGCTCGTTCACAGGGCTTCGGGCTGTTCGACTGATCTGCAGTTTTCCTTTGTTATGTCATTCATCCACTGCATACGTCACATGGGTTCACTCTCTACATCCTGTATTATATTCCTTACGCTACTTTGTGCTATGCACTGAATTCATTATCTGAAACCCATCTGGATGTCAACTTGAGAGCGATGAGAGCTTACTGGTTATCTAAGCTAATCAAGGTATGGGGTTGGTATCCTAAGCGGGCCGAGGGATGAGGCAGGTACAATAATTAGTCTACGGCGTACGCGCAAAAAAGTCATAATTAGTGAACTGAGGCCCGAACCATGAGAAAGATATATGTTCCAATTATAAAGTGAATGATCACCAGCATCACACACCAGCAGTTTCAGAGTTTTTTTAGTGGAATAGCCCATGCATCAGGAAAACCCTCTGCTGCAAATTTAGACTAAGTATGTCAAACTTTCTCTAATTCACAATAATTTCGATAAAATAGACAGGGATATCACAAACTATAGTCCACCAGTCCATAATCTCTTTTTTTCCCAGTGTGATGTGACTTGCTTGTGATGATGTGACATACTTGCGTGACGCCCGTGATGAGACTTGCGCGTCGCGTGTCTACGATTGAATCATATCCTGCATCCAAACCATGTCGAGAACATCATACGATAGGTTCGAGTATTCACCAGTTCCACTGTCTGCATGCTCAGAATTATTTGGCAGATATCTCACTGTTTTCTCGCCCGAGGGCCGACTGTATCAAGTCGGTGTGTTGATGATTATCGGACATGCTCGTAATGACGCGTGCTCATATACTCCCCTCTAGAATATGCATTCAAAGCTATCTCGGGTTCAGGCCATACAGCAGTCTCTGTCAGAGGATATGACACCTCTGTAGTCATTACCCAAAAGAAGATCCCAGTACGCTGTGCTACAAAACGGATGTCATCATGATATTTACTTAAGATCAGGATAAGCTATTGGACGCATCAACTGTTACGCACCTCTACAGCATCACTCGTACTATTGGGTGTGTCATGACTGGTCTTGTTGGTGAGCAAAAATGCTGGTTGTGGAATAGCTTTTACTTGTGCTGACGTAGGTCACAGCCGATGCCCGTGCACAAGTTTTACGTGCCCAGCAAGAGGCTGCCCAGTGGAGATACAAGTATGGATACGAGATAACTCCAGATGCTCTGGCACGACGACTGGCAAATATCAATCAAGTTTACACGCAACGGGCTGGCATGCGGCCCCTGGGCATCTGTATGCTACCTATCTTGTCACCGTCGTTTTGCAACTAATGACAATACATATGCTCGTAGCTATGATCTTAGTTGGCATCGATCCAGAATACGGACCGCAATGTTTCAAACTGGATCCTGCAGGCTACTTTGTTGGGTTCCACGCCACTGCTGCTGGACAGAAACAGCAAGAAGCTATGAACCACCTAGAAAAGAAATGGAAGAAGCTAGACAAGGGTAAGGGAGCTGATGATGCTGCAGCCGCTGGTAAGAAGCTCAGCCGAGCGGAGGTCATTGAGGTGAGTCATGCTATACTATAACATGACTTAGATAGCTGAGCATTGTTTAGATTGCAATAGAAGCAATGTCGACTGTTCATGCGACGGACTACAAGGCCGGAGAGATAGAGATTGGGATCGTGTCGACTGCTGAGGACGAGGACCCAAAGACCCGCGGTGAATGGCGTGTGATGGATGAGGCTGAGGTGGAAAGATATCTGCTCGCATATGCAGAAAAGGACTAGGATGCATTGTTGCAACACATGATAATTAATCATTTGATCGTGGAAACTCGGAAGGAGTTGTTTAGATAAGGTTTTGGTGTGACGCGGTATGAATTGTAAATGATGTCTATCGGATTTTTCTATTCTATCGCAGAGAAGCTCCTCCACTCTGCACGACTGTGAGTACTGAATCATTTGTTACACAGAAATACTGACTGATATGGCATCGATCTCTACTTGCTCCAAGTATCTGGAAGATGGCTTCGAGAAACGTGCTGGAGCGTCCCAAAATTCTAGGAATACGGCATGATCCTGCGGTGCTCGGTATGAGCTGTGAGGAACAGCCTTTTTAGAAAAGGACTTTTGCCATTCTGGAGGAGCAGCTGGATGAGGGTGAGAAGGACCTGCAGCTATTACGACACTCAAGTGTTATGCATGACAATAATTTACGCAACTCACTAGCTGGCCATACACGCTTTCCGATGAAGCTGATGAGAGGTTTATGTGCTAGCACTTTAACAGATGGATGCATGGTAAGTACTTGGCTGAGAAGCGTCGGGCCGCCAAAGCTGTTCACATGAGATGTTATGTTATTTGTACATATTTACTTGGTCGGCAGGGTGAAGCAATCCGACGCGCCGATCGCCTATGTACTAGATGATATTGACGCCAAAGGTAGGCCTGCCAGCAGCAACTCAAGAGATAAACAAAACGGTATATAACTGCTGGCATACTTGACAGTCCTTTCCTTCCCAGAAACAATATGTCGGTTCTTCAGGCATACTCTTCCCTGACATCAAGCTCGCCAAGAGCTACGATATCACAGACGCTTCAATCAATCGCTGGTATGTCTTAATCTTATTTTATGGCTAACTATCTCAATCTAGTTTTTTAGGTGCCCCGCCCATCAATCACCCTTCATGTAAAGCACTCATTCAGCTCATCATCGATGACCTCCAGGCTGTCATTATCAATGGCTCGTCTAGCCGTTTAATCAAAGACGGTTTGCTCGCTCTATTATAATCATACATTCCATACTGATTATATGTCAATTGCAGACGCATTGTCCGCTCTTTCTGCCGTCAAGGGACTTGGTAAAATTCCTCAGGGTGCCCAAGTACTTGCATCAGTTCCTAACCTCAAATGTCTTATAACGCTTGCCATAAAACTTGAAAGTACTCCTGATGCATCGAATGAAGCTTTGAAATGCGTTGCCAACACCCTACTCCTCAGTGAACCTGCCCGTACCACGTTGCTGAGTCAAGAAATTGATGGAGGAAATATCTGTATCGACCTGCTCCAGGTCAGAGCCCATCACCCTGCGTGTTTTGCATTCAACCCATTTCTTTTTTAGAAATCTGCAACACCCGAGAACACATTTCTCTCATCCAGAATCCTCTTTCTCTGTACAGCATCCCCTCATCAATCTGCTTCCTTCATTGAATCTATCGTTGAGACAAAGCACGCCCACTTTCCTAGAAATGGAACAATAATCGATGTTATTGCCCTTAAGTTGGATGATTTAATTTCATCCATGCAAGCTGGAATAAAGATGTCCCGCGATGCCATGACAGATCTCCTGAAGCTCACCTTCAATCTCCTCGTACACTATCCCAAGGTCAGTCATTTCTTTTTTTAACTGCAAATAGAAGTCTCAGTTGCCTTATAGTTGGTTCCGTCAGAGTCAAAATATCCCGCCTTAGAAAGCAGTCCTGATGAACAAAAGGTGATGGGTGATTTCTGGAACTCGCGGCTTGACGGGTGAGTATCTTGTGGCAATATTTATGACAGTGTCTCAAATGGTGCTGCAGCCTTCTACCTCCGCTTGTTCGTGCCTTTCAGACTATTCCACTTTCCTCGCCAAATCCCCTTACATCGCCGTTAACTCACATCATTCACTCGCTGATCACTATTCCTGTTGACACGTCATCCCGAGCGATATGGTTCGGCACTCGTCCACATTCACATTCGACTACACCACAGCCGAGTTCACCCGAGTCCACAACCTCTTCTTTGACTGGTTCAAGTCATGATGACCAGTCAACGCCTAAGGAGCCAAAGGCCAAGCAATTTGAGCGCGCCATATCATCTGTCATTTCAGCCGGTCGTCGTTCGTTCTGCCGCTCTCCACGTTCGGACTTGCCTTCCACTGCTGACTGCGTTCCACGCGCTTATGAACTCCTGGACACGACCCTTGCTTATTTCCTTCCGGGTGATATCGATCCAGATGATCCTGCAGTGCGAGACCTGTGTAAGATTGATGGGGACACGTCCCTGGATGAAATCGTGTGCCCGCTTGTTATACTTATCACACGATTCTGTCTTGGTGACGATGATGCCAAGACAAGAATAAGACAGTGGTTAGTGCCGGAAGATCTGGACAGGACGCATCCTTTGGAGAAGAGAGCAGATCTTTTAGGCCGATGTTTGAGACTCCTTGCATCTGTCTACCACAGCAGATTGAAGGATTCTATGGGAGAAATGCTATACGCAATGTGTGATTCAAACGGTATGTCATATACACCTCCCGTTCGGTTATATTTACGAATGAAATTTAGCTACATCCCTTGCTGGTTATTTCGGATATGGCAACGTTGCCGGTTTCCTTTTCCACAAAGGTGTTGTCAGTGCACCGCCTGTCAGCGTGACCTCAGGCGCACCACCAATTACCGCGTCAGGTTTACCCATCAACCCCATCACTGGCACCATCGAGCATCCCTCGGAAACCATCGACATGACCGATGAAGAGAAGGAACGCGAGGCGGAAAAGTTATTTGTGTTATTTGATCGGCTGGAGAAGACTGGTGCGCTACCTCCGAGTCAGAATCCCTATCGTAAGGCGTTTCAAGAGGGTAAAATGGGCTAAATCAGTCTGGATATGAACTTATCATGGACTTACGAGTAGTTTACTTACCGATACCATACCTCTTTTCCCTTTACCTTGAATCCACAGTTAATGAAGTATGATAGATCAAGTTGTCAGCTGCATGATACAACATTGTGCATATGTATATATATACGAAAAGACATGCAACAACTCGTGCCATGTTGAAAGTGGGAAGTCATTACTTTGGGGTAGCGCTGTGTAGCAGTCCATACAAGCTCGGAACGACTGCCTAATCGAAAGTGATCTTGGACCCCTCAAACTGAGTGACAGCTCCAGTGCGTGCACCCCCTCGGCCCCTCCCACCACCCCTCCCACCGCGGTCACCACCTCGACCACGTCCTCTCCCACCACGGTCGCCACCAAACCCACCGCGTCCACGTCCGCGGTCACCGCCACCGAAACCACCACGTCCACGACCTCCACCCCGACCACCCCCAGCGCTGTCTCTTGGTTGGGAATAGTCTAAGCGAAGGCTGCGGCCATCAAGCTCATAACCCTGCAGTTTTCCGTGGGCTGTCTGTGCGGCTTCCACAGCACTAAACTCGACATAGGCAAAACCTTTCGGCCTTCCCGAGTCACGATCCGTTGGAACACGAACACTTTTAACGTCCCCGTGCTCGCCAAAAACTTCCCAAAGTTGGTCCTCGTTGACACCAAAGCTAAGATTCCCAACAAAGAGAACACTTGATACTGGGCTCTGCGTGTCGCCAAAAGACTTTGCCCGGTTTTCACGGACAGTACTTTTATCCGGCGGAGTGCTTTTGTCAATATTGACCGGTCGTCCATCAATTTCCTTGCCGTTCATTTGGAGAGCCTTTTCAACTGCATCTGCAGATGTGAAGTGCACATAGCCAAAACCGCGCGACTTTCCGCTTGCGCGATCGGTTTGTACTTGAGCAGAGACAACTTCGCCGCAGGAGGCAAATTCCTGTGCAAGCCAGTCGTTGTCGACATTCCATGATAGCCGACCAACGAAAATACTTTTCGTTTCCTCAGTCGATGCGCTAGGAGCTGCATCGTCATCGACCAATTTTACCTTTTTTGGCGGAACCGAGGGCTCTGCTTCTGCTTTGCGCTTGGTGCCTGTGAACCATTCAGGTCAATGGACGACTACTGTAATCAATAACTTACCCTTAGCAGGCTGAACATTTTGTACCTCAGCACCAATCTGTTCTGACGAGCTTTCGTCGCTCGAAGAGGAATCGGAAGAGTTATTACTTTCTTTACCCTTCCCTTTTTTGCCGGCCGGTGCATTGACGGGCTTTTCATCATCCGACGAGTCATCGGAATCCGAAGTAGGGGCAGGCTTTTTGGGTGCTCCATCTTCCGAAGAGGAGTCCGAGGACTCGTCGCTTGATTCGGAAGCTTTTGCAACCGATGCTTTGAGCGCTCCCTATGGATATTGAATAAAAATCGTAAGACTGAAAAAGCGAATACATACAGCCTTAGCCAAAATGGCCTTGGATGGTGTCGGCAATTTGACATTTTTTGCCAGTAGCTTTGCTGCCTTGGTCTTATCTGTCTTGCCTGAAGACCACGACAAAAAATCAGGTTGAATGGAGACCAGAGCCATCAATCATTTACCATTGACAGGCTGAACATCTTGCATCTCTACATCCTTGTCATCGACCTCATCGGATGAGCTCTCATCGCTTGACGACGAATCAGATGAATCGCTAATCTCCACTTTACCCTTTCCTTTTTTTCCGGCTGGGGCACTGACAGGCTTTTTTTCTTCTGGTGAATCGTCAGAGTCCGACGTGAGCACAGTTTTTTTGGGTTGTTCGTCTTCCGAAGATGAGTCTGAAGAATCGTCAGATGTTTCGTCTTTGGCACGTTTAACGGGAGCCTTTCCATTCGATGCTTTGAGTACTTTCTGTGGGGTTGAACAAAAATGTGAGTAGGAAACGACTTATGACAGTAGTACATACGGCCTTGGCCAAAATCTCTTTGGATGACGCTAGTGACTTTGCTTTTGCGGGTGAGCCGGTGGCTGGTTTGGCAGCCTTGGCCTTATCTGCCGTCTTTTTGTCTGCCTTCTTGTCTGATTTTGCCATTGAGTGCGCAAGTGAGGGATACGGATTTGCAAAATAAGTTAAAGAAGTACAAAATTTTGGCTCGATAAGCACGTGAGCTATTCTGATTAAGGGCAGGTTCGGTTATGATCAGGACTGAGCGCTCTAGCCTCTGTGATATCTGAATCAGTTTCTTCTATTACTGTGGCAATGGATAATTCCTTTGATGTTATTGTGCTTGGCACCGGTCTGACCGAGTCTATTACTGCTGCGTGAGCGAAATTGACACTGCACACCGTGCTATTGTACTCAACAGGAACCCATCAGTGCTCTCTCCAAAGCTGGCTTCAAAGTTGCACATATTGACCCCAATTCATATTATGGTGCAGACGAAGCATCCCTCTCATTAGATGAACTTGTGCGATGGATTGATCACCGTAAAGAGGACAATCATTCCGTGTCTCATTATGGTGAAGTCCCACCTCATGCCAGACAGTACTCAGTCTCATTGGCTCCTTCGGTCATTCCATCTATCGGCCCTTTCATTTCGTCCCTCATCGCGTCTGGCGTTTCTCGCTACGGATCTTTCAAGCTCCTTGGTCGCGTTGTCATTTATGACGGTGGTATATTGAAAGATGTGCCTCAGAGCAAGGATGATATCTTTCAGAGCAAGGTGATGAGTCTCTTAGAGAAGAGGAGGGTCACGCGTTTCCTTTTGTTTGCTGCTGGGAAATTCGAGAATAGCAAGGAGCTGCATGGCCAAGAAAATCTGCCCTTGCTTGATTTCTTGCATAGGATTTTTTCGCTCAGTGAGGCAACTGCTCGAGCCGTCGCCTATGCCCTGGGATATTGCTGGTTTATTTCAGAAACGACTCTTCCCGCTCTGCATCGTATTCGCGCTTACCTGAAGGCATCTGGTCGGTATGGGCCGTCCTCATTTCTCGTTGGCTACTATGGTAGCTCGGGTGAAATCGCGCAAGGCTTTTGTCGCGCAGCTGCTGTGGGGGGAGGTGTTTATATTCTAGGACGATCTATTACAAGTATCTCGTCTGTCGATACCATCGAGCCAGAATACCCCGTTTTGACACCCGATCTGCCTAGGTTCGCTATTGAAGTTCACGACTTTCCAGACCTTCTTCACTGTCGATGCCTGATATCATCGACTTCACTTCTACCAGGACACCTTCGCACTCTAGCAGATGTCATCCGTCCAAGTTTATCACCATGCGGCTCCCCGCAGCCATTTGCGATGGCGCGATGTATCGCCATCGTCGATGGACCAATTACTTTGTCATTGGAGACTGAGGATTCGGGAACGTCAGATGCATCGGATTCTTCGCTTATTGTCTTTCCGCCGGGGTCATTGAACGGGGGATCAGCTATTTCTGCTGTGCATGTTATGACAGCGGGTCCAGGTACGATGTCAGCCCCTTCTGGGAAAGGTACAGTTATTTTTTATTCCCGGTTAGCTGTAACTCAATCTATCTTAGGCATCCTGTACATTTCAATGCCTCTTCCCACCAATTCCGTTCATTCGGCTGAGATCCTTTTACGCCCTTACCTAACGGCTGTTCTCTTATTGTTTCGATCTGAGCAACAGCAGCAGCAAACATTGATTTGTTCTACATTCTATATGCAGGAACTTGTTTCGTGTACAACAAGCACCTCAGATCCATTGGTAGGGCTCCTGGCTGTACCTTCATTAAGCCCACATACAACACAGGGGGTAGATGAAGCTGCAATAGTTGCTGAGGCTACCTTCAGAAAGGCAACATCTTTTCTTAATGGAGAAACAAAAGATATTGAAGGATGTGAGCACCATGTGTTTTGGCCTGTGTTAGCTGAGATGGAGGAAGAAGAAGGCAATGTTATGCAGTGGTAGAACAAATGATACAAGGGAACTGTTTGCTTATGGACAGAAATTCAATACTAGTACCATTGTTTTGTTTTACACTACTTGTCATATACTGGTTGTATCTTTTCTACTGTCAGGGCATAGTGTTAATACATCTTATGTGGACTACTATCCATAAGTCCTCATACATTTTCTTTTGTTATAGTCCACTGTCAATGAAAAATGAAGGATCTACACTACAAAACTGGAAGGAGGTTTGAATTACTAACTGTGCTGGTGAATTCTGCAATTCACCTACTCAACTAGTGATTAGTTAGTTCCTGGACCTATCTTGGTCAGGTCTGTGTCCCATTTTTCCACCAAAATTCTCTGTCACGTCCGATCATGCCGGCCCGCTCATCCCGTTTACTCACACCACTTTTTATTTTGATATGTTTCTTGTTTCCTCTTTCTCTCTCTCCGCTGGACATTACAAGGCCATTTGTATTAATCAATAAATCCATCTCAGTATGTCTTATCCATTCTACAAGCACATGCAATGATACTTGTTCATCGCTTTCATCTTCTTTTCTTGTCTGTGCTTAACAATGTTTCCAGCAAAAATGCTTATAGCTTCTGACATCCCTCTTCCTCAGGACAGAGATTGATTAATAAGCAGTTGCATTCTATGCCAGAATTTCAAGTTCTATGCAGTTTCTCGCAGTTGCTTGTCATTTCATTCAGTCTACCCTGTTGGGGTGTTCTGTTCCATTGAAACATCTGCATGTGTCTTGATGGAAAACTTCCCCTTTTTCTTGCAAAAAAATCTGAGAACAATTTGTGATTTGCATGCTATTCCTTGGTGTCTGAGTCATTGCAAAGATGAACTGCATGATGCTCTGCAAGTCCATTCTTGCTCATTATCATGTTGATCTCTCTCTTACAGTTTCAAGTGTCTTCCAAGTCACCCATACACTATGACAATGTGATGTTACCTCCTCCTTTTTCCACAAAATCGTCTTCCATGATGCAGCACAAGCATAAGCAACATTGTCGAGCAGCCACTAGTCCTGCGAAGATCACTGATATGCTGTCTAAAGATGTGTTGGCTCATCACAAATCATACATGCACAAGCCTGACCCTGGCTTAGACAATCGTTTGTCGTCCCCCTTTTCCAACTGTCACATCCTTTGAACAGAAGTGATTATTCGTGAATGGCAAGACACAATAAGTTCAAAACATCAAGTGTGGGGTGCATGTGTGGTTTGTGCATATAATATTCCATGTACCCAGTTGATTGAGGTAGATCATAATTCTGTGCCTTTTGTGCTTCTCCATAATGAAAGCATAGTTTACCAACTTTGTATAATTTGGAAGATTATCATCGTGCGATTTCACATCCAAAAGGCTTGCTGAATATGAACCAATTGTCCAATCTGTTGATGTGCCAGGCCTGCTATCGCGCTCTGACATCAAAAACACCCAAACAGCCTAGGAATGCTTTGGCATATTATGGCCTTGACCATTTGTGGATTAGCTGGCTGTTATCCACTGAAAGAAATGTTGAGAGGCATGTTAACTGTTCACATTAAATCTGAGTTGTAAAATTGGACATGATACAAGAGTCAAGAGAACTAACAGAAGAGCAGGTTCAGGGGGGCCTGTCAGGGCTATATCAAATGACTGGTGTTGTTAAGGTCGTACTCTCGTATTAACGGATCCGATAGGGCTTTGGCCTCAGCTCATACGCTGTGCCCCTTTTCCAAGTATTGCCCCTTATTTCAGAGAGGGAGATATAACATGTCTGGAGGATCAGACGAGTACCGTAATGATATCTGAAGGTCGTCCGGATAACAGAAGCATGCATAAGACTAATCCAGACAGGTCCGGACTAGAAAACAACAGAGTATAGACTATCCGAAGATAGAGTTGGAGATGTAGACTTTATAGGATACAATCCTTAAGTCTTGGAATGCGACAAGAGCTTAACTAGGCTCGAGTCCGGAGGACAGAAAGAGAACAAACTAAGATGATATTTGAACTGAGGTATTACAGGGCATATACAAGGGGTTATATACTAGAAGACTATCTGAGGCTATGCACAAAGTATAAGTGAAGTTTATCACAAGTTTAAACGCAAGTCGGAAATTAGCACAGGTTAACAGATCATAAAGCATAGCCGGAAGTAAGGATAACCGAGATACTGAGAACAAGGAATACTGAATAAAGGAATAGGCTGTGATTAACATTATATGAACAGGAAATGAATAGGAAGCTTATCGTATCTTGGATCGGAAGTGGATCTGTATATCAGATCAGATCTAGGGTCCGAGGTCTGGATGAGAAGCATGGATATATGGGATATAACAGGTGTCTTCTTACTTGTGTCTTGTATAAAAGTGCTCAAAAGGGAATGATACCATAATTACACTGTTGATAAGACTAAATCTGCCAACAACCTCAAGTTTGTGGTCTACAACTTTTCTTCTTTCATGACAAATGACACATTGTTTGTGGGAGGTTACCTGCTATACCGTTGGTGATGTGCATGGCCTGGCTTCAGGCCGTCACATATTACAGTGACATATTTCCGTATTATATGGGCCAGCGGACTATGAGCCGATGTTATGTATATCCCTGATGTTGATGGATGGGCCGGGAGGGATATTATTTCCGATGGAGACGGGTGGGCCCATCTATGCTGATATTATATATATCCTCGAAGATGTTGGGTGGGCCGATGTAATGGTTTATTGTATAGATGGGTGGGCCAATGTAAGGGTTTATTGTATAGATGGGTGGGCCAACATACTGGAATTATTTTGTAGACGGATGGGCCGAGGGAGTGGTGGAATATTCATTATATAGACGGGTGGGCCGATTGAGGGAGATGTTATATAGATGGGTGGGCCGATGGAGGGGGATGTTATATAGATGGGTGGGCTGAGGTAGTGAGATATCTGTCTGACATTCACGGATTACTGAGTCCCAGATGCCCAAAAACCGAATCCCATTGTGCAACATCCATTCCAGACACCCAAACACCCCAAGCTCGAGACTGGAAAATGGAAACTGGTGAAAATGTGTGAAATTTCTATTTCCTTGCACCAAACACATGAACACCTGAACACCCAAAGCCTGAGACCCAAAATCCGAAGCCCAGAATCCAAAAACATGTATGCAAAATGTCCATTTTTCATTCATTGCACAAATCACCGAGTGTCAAGTGACAAAACCCAAAACTCGAGACCCAGTACACAAATCACCAAGTACCGAGTGCCGAGGGCCGAACCCCAAAGTCTGAAACTTGAAAACATGTATATAACATATCCATTTTTCAGTCATTGCACAAATCACCAAGTGTCAAGTGCCAAAACCCAAAACTTGAAACCCAGTATGCAACATGCCCATTTTTCATTTACATTAAACAAATCATCGAATGCTGAGTGCCGAGGCCTGAACCCCGAAGCCCGAAGCCTGAAACCCGAAAATATGTATACAACATATCCATATTTCCCTCACTGCACAAATCACCAGGTGTCGAGTACCGAAACCTGAAACTTGACACCTGGTACACAAATCACCAAGTGCCGAGGCCCGAAGCCCGATGTCCGAAGCCTGAAACCCAAAGATATGTATACAACATATCCATATTTCCCTCACTGCACAAATCACCGAGTGTCGAGTACCGAAACCCGAAACTCAACACCCGGTACACAAATCACCAAGTGCGAAGTGCTGAGTGCCAAGGCCCGAACCCCGATGTACGAAGCCCGAAACCCAAAGCCTGAAACCCGAAAATATGTATATAACATATCCATATTTCCCTCACTGCACCAATCACCAAGTGTCAAGTACCAAAACCTGAAACTCGACACCCGGTACACAAATCACCAAGTGCAAAGTGCTGAGGCCCGATGTCCGAAGCCCGAAACCCGAAGCATGACACCTGAAAATATGTATATAAAATATCCATATTTCCCTCATTGCACAAATCATGGAGTGTCAAGTACCAAAACCCAAAACCCGACACCCAGTACACAAATCACCAAGTGCTGAGTGCCGAGTGCTGAGGCCCAAAGTCCAATGTCCGAAGCCTGAAACCCGAAGCCTGAAACCCGAAAATATGTGTACAACATATCCATATTTCACTCATTGCACAAATCACCGAGTGTCAAGTGCCAAAACCCGAAACTCAAGATACGGTACACAAATCACCAAGTGCTGAGTGCCGAATGCCGAGGCCCGAAGCCCGATGTCCGAAGCCTGAAACCCAAAGATATGTATACAACATATCCATATTTCCCTCACTGCACAAATCACCGAGTGTCAAGTACCGAAACCCGAAACTCAACACCCGGTACACAAATCACCAAGTGCAAAGTGCCGAGTGCCGAGTGCCGAGGCCTGAAGCCCAATGTCCGAAGCTCAAAACCTGAAGCATGACACCCGAAAATATGTATATAACATATCCATATTTTCCTCACTGCACAAATCACCGAGTGTCGAGTACTGAAACCCGAAACTTGAGACCCAGTACACAAATCACCAAGTGCTGAGTGCTGAGTGCCAAGGCCCGACATCCAAAGCCTGAAACCCAAGGATATGTATACAACATATCCATATTTCCCTCACTGCACAAATCACCGAGTGTCGAGTACCGAAACCCGAAACTCAACACCCGGTACACATGACTACAACTGGACATGAATTCTGTATTTGTATGTATTATCCATTGATGTAGGGTTCAAATAACTTGGGAATTGTATTGACTACCAAGGGTCGGGACTCGGGACTCGCTAGTCAATATAGGAAAATGATAATGAAAAAATGAAAATTATTATTATGCTTAACTTTCTTAATGACGGTTGTAGTCCGAGTCTATGTGAGTGTATTGGTGGTCCTACCAAGTATTGGTCCTTAGTGTAGTGATGGTTGCGGTGTTGGGCTCAGAACCACTGATTTTCATACTCATGTCATTCTTGTCAATTGGAGATTATTTGAAGACTACGTTAAATGTTAGTCAGTGTCGAGTATGATAATGAATGTATAGTCATACCTCAGTCTGAGAACAAATAGACTGAGGTAGGATGATGCAGGTATGAGGATTATATATTTGTCTGGCATGTTAGCAATGATGTAAAGATGAGGCGTGCATTTGTGCATGTGTGCAGTAAGTGAGCATAAAGATAAAAGAATGAATATTAATAGCAAGACTTGCACATTATGTTGAGATATCCAACATGACAAGCCTGTGATGGGATCAGAGACCTGG